TTACTTATACATATAATACGTAATATAATTATTCTATAATTTGTTCTAGATATGACCTTTTGAATCGGCAAGATCATCGATCATCAACCTACCTACAAATCGTCAAGTGTTATGTGTAATTTATTCAAAGCAATAATCTACACCTATTCGCTTGTAAAGTCTAATATATGTACTTGTTGTGAACGTTCATACAACAGGAACTTACGCAGCCCTCGTAAAGCTAGTATGGATTGACACGTCGGCCGCAGTAAACGTTGCAGTGTGCGGTGGTAACAATGCAAAGTGCTGTATTACAGACTGCCCATACAGCGGCGAGTAAAGTCAGCGTAACTCCGGCTGGGATTGCACAGCCCCCTCTTTACCTAACTCATCCCTGTGCCAAATACTGAAGTAGACGGTCTTGTGTTTTCGCTTCGTCTCTCTTACTCTTACGGCCTACGTATACGTATAATCTACCTACGACCTATGACCTACTCGAGGGTCAATTTATGAGTCTCTGAACTGTTTTATATAATATTTGCTCCAACGTTCCGTTAAGTAATCATTACGAACCATATAATAAATTTGGATAGGATCGCTGAGGGTAATATTAAGATTCTTTTTCTTCAAAAGAGGTGAATAATTGAAAAAGTTTTACGAGATAAGAGTAAATATTTTCTTACTTTAAATCAACTAATTTAAATTGTCAGAGGTTATGGGTGCAAAATCTAAAATTTTTCATTAGCATCGTATCGCCGAAGGAGCGTCTTTTAACAATTTTTTTTATCGCTACCCCAATGCATTTCGTGCGTATCCGACTGGTCTGCGTGAGAACGCAGTGCGGTAACCGCCTGCGTGTGCGTTTTCCATGGGCACAGCCGGGCGTCGGTGCATAGACGGCAGCAGTGGAGACGTGTAAGGGTGTGCGTGTGCATCGAAGTAGGAGGGTAGGGAAGGGTGAATAGGGGAAGAGAAAGAGTAGGTAGGGGGACAATAACAGAGCCGCGTTTTCGGGCAACGACCCGTCGCCATCCCTTCGAACTCCAACCCTCTAGAAGCGCCCACCGAACGAACCACCCTGCAACCCTTCAACCCTATAACCCCTGCGTTGCCTTCCTCAGTGAGATTCCCTACCCACAAAGCAACCTCGACAGCCCGTACCACCCTCCGCACCCCCTGACTCCAGGTCTACTTCAACCCTGAGCTGCCACATAGCCACCACGCAACTGGCAAACTGGCTAACTGGGAGCTCGAATGGAACAGCGCTATCGAAATACCAATTCACTTTCTCCGCATTAATTAGAATGACATAACGCTGCAGTCCGGTGCCGTAGTTCCGCCATACGGGAATGGCCCTGCCAAATGTAGGGGATTGAAACGCACTATTGGAAGGGATGCGTCAGGGAATTAACATTGGGATGCTAAAGTGTCACTTCGAACGGCAGTACGGTATATATCACCCTGTTATAACGCTTGTTACTATTGATTAGCTAATTAACGGTGATGCATGTTCAACGATGCTTCTGTTTTGTTCTACATTTTTTTAATCCCCTTAAGAATAAATTTTCTCCCTTATTAACAACGAGCTGATAGTAGCGGGTCTTTTTCATGTCGAAAATCTGAACGATCGAATTCCAGGAGGTAGTTATCGCTGCTGCTGCTTCTGCTGTTCGGGTCTCCTTTCAGACGACAAAGACGACGGGCTCCGGTGTGAACGAACTCCGAAGGGAGTGAGACGACCCCAGAGGCAAGAGTTGGCTAGCCAGACAGATATTCGGTGTGCGTGAGGGCTGCTGAGGATACCTCCGGCTCTCGAGGACGTAGGGTGGAATCCTGTTTTCCGGCACTTGACCTCCCTTGGCGGAACCTCCTTCGCGATGGAACTCGTAACTCCTGCTAAGGATGAAGCGTGACTAGGACCCGAATGCTCCCATCCATGCCACCCTGGAAATAACTGGCTCGACCTTGCACGATGGCTTAGGGTGAATAAAACTGTTAGAGTATGATCAATACGGGGCCAATACCCGTCCGTATGTATCTTATGCATTATGAACTCCGCTGCGTTACTCTTTTGATATTTCATAGCAGAAAGAGATAGAGGGACAGTGATTAAAATTACTCACAGATTTACATGTAACGGATCGAGTTGGCATATGAAATCACGTGAGCCACGTGTCGAGCTATTTCCGCCATTAGAAATCCAATTGCTGAACCCTGGTGAACTGGTCGGCGTCCCGTTGCCCAATCCATCTCAATTATGCGACGTCATAATTATTCTTATGATTCGACTGCCGATTTTATGGATGATGGACGTCATACAAGTAACACGATAGCGAATCGTGATCTGCTTTTAAAGCATCTACTGCCGTCATAATGGTATCCGTTATGGTGGCTGAAAGAAGTGTGTAAAGACGAGGAGAAAAAAAGATCAAAGAAATAGTACCATAAAATTCCGTGAGTCGGCGAGACTGTCGTAAGATTTCGTGCGGTGTGAATGAACTCGGTGGAAACGACCCCAGACGAAAGTTGGCTGGCCAGACGCATATTCGGTGTGCGTGCGTGAGTCCTCCCGGTTCTCACCCTGGAAGAGGGTGGACTGGAGGGTGGGTCAGAGGTTTCGACGGGGTCTCGGGTGTGAGAGCAGGAGGCGAGTCTAGGAGGGTGGGTTGCGTCTGGTGGCGCGACTTGACCCCGGTTGACCCGAGACTCCTCTTCCCCGGCCCCGGCCACCCCTAACGCCCTCTACGTCTTGCCATCCCTGCCGCCGCGGGTAATTATTGATGTGTCCGCCGTCGTCGCCGTCGTCGCTGCCGCCACCACCACCGCCGCCACCGTCATCCTCTGAAAGAGAATACGAGAAAGAGGATTGAGACAGAGTGAACGCACCCTCTACGCACCCTCAGTAAATCTACACGCACCGACACCCTCGCGAGTTCCAAGAATATAAATTCGCGAGGGTCTACCCCAACGCTACCCCTCGAGCAGGGATTAGCCAAAAATTTGGGCATAAATGGTGAGCAGTCGCTCCTTAATTTTCAACCCCCTTTGAACTCTTCCCAAGTACCTTTTACCTCGAGCAAGGGTTACTAACCTGTGACTATATACACCCTTTGGTTTTTGTGAGCCCTCATTTCATTTCCGAAAGCTCCCGCAAGACTGTCTTGACCTCAAGGATAAAAATACGCGGCCAGTTAACTCATGAAAATGGCTAGCCTCGTTAAAGAACTTCGTTAGCCGCGAGTCAAAGTGGCTTTGAAATTTGCAACTTTACACCAGCCGCCAAGTGGCCGCGTCAGGCGCCCTCCGCTTCCACATCGGCATAGTAGCTCCGCTCCTAGATGACCTCTACCACTCCGTCCCCGTCTTCCGGCCGCACTATTTTTTCTTCCGAATTTTACGGCGCATTTAGCGCCACTCGTCTTTCGCAAAACTCCGCCGAAATGAAGTTCCGACTCCTAGATCTAAAAACAGGATGGCTGAAAAAAGAAAAAAGCTTTAAGCACAGACTATCTCACGGAATGGCCTACTCGAAATCGACAAAAGGATACGTTACAACCCGCTACACCAGCAGATAACACCTCGAGCCTTTACCAACCTCTTCCCCTAGTCAGACAGGGCGTCCATTCATTGCAGTGAATGCCATGTTTACATGCATAATGCCCCGCGTAATGCATTTAACCGTCAGAAGGGGAAGAATTATACTACTGTTAAAAAAGAGCAGTTTCCTCGAGACAGCCATCGCCGGCGCCTCCGCCATCATCGCCAGCCGCAACCACCGTCGTTGCCACCCCTATGCTAAATACCCAGGGCATACGACCCAGTGGCACACTGTTTTTATGCAAATTGTGTTTACATCCTCGAGAGTTACGAGTAGAAAGGAAGTCGAGAACGCCGACGCCTCACGTACTCGTGCACGATTCCCCATGTGTACGTGGTGGCGTTTGAAGGTAAGGTTAGGTATAGGAGGTATCGTCTTTGTGCTCGAAGGCCTGATATATATTTCAGACGCCGCCGACGCCGACGCCGATGCCGCTCTAACCACCACCGTCGTCGTCCCCCACGAGACGGCTGCAGGCCCCGTTCGTTTCGGGGGCTGCGTGCGTCGTGTCTGCGTGCGTCGCTCTGAGGTGGTTGAACCCCGCAAAAAGCTCGAAGCTCAAAGCTGCTCGCTGGTGCGGCTTGGTGCAGTGACTCGGCCAGGGTAGACGAGGAGTACCGGGGGGGTCGGTAGCGAGTACTATGGGGTTCCTACGGTAAGGCCGCTAAGGGTGGTAAGCCTGGTAAGGCTAGTAAAGATTGGTAAGACTGCTGCTTTTCTCCCTGAGGCTTTTGCTGCCTTATGGAAGCGTCTAGGATATCTAACCTCAGACCAGGAAAGGAGTGGGAAGTCACGTGACGCATGACTACAGATCTGACTTACGCAGTATGGTTGCCATAGAAGAAAAAAAATCCCTAGACCTACACTTTATTCCCTATATTCATTAACTCGCACCTGTCATTCTTTATTACATACAAATTAAACCTGTTTTGGAATTCTGAAGCAAGTCTCCTGTCTCTTATGGACCACGGAGAATTCTTAGATCAATATCTGACCGATGGTTATATCGGTTAAAAATTGTAAATCCCCGTTGAACGTGCATGCGGTAACTGCTCTCCTGTTTCGATTGATTGAATATGGCGCAAATATCCAGTAGCCACTAGTGGAAATAATCAGTAACCGTTGAGAGCACTGTCGGCGATCTTTGATAATGCTTTTTCAAATCTAACGATGGTCGATATACCGGAGAGTTACAAAGCACGCGGTGCAATCTTTGTACTGGAATTCTTGGCGGAGTTATCATTTCATTTTATTTATCTCCGTCTATCCACAACTTTAACCTTCAATACCTTCTGCGCTTGGCTAAAGGCCTATAGCAGAACGGTGCTTAGATAAAGACACTGGGCGCAACAAAGCGGTTAACTTGAAAACAGTGATGAGGTAACTCGACCCCTTTCTGGAGGGTCTAACCACCCTTATCAGATCCGCATGTATATACACTTACACGTGTGTTGCCAGATAGAGGCATGGGACGCTTTGTTATACAGAAAACTTTTAGCAACGCCTTTTCAACCACCTGAAGACATTGATTTGACTTATTTCTTTTATACATTAACCAGGTAAAGTGCTTCGGATAACTTTCAACGGTACCCAGTATAAAATTCAATCAAGAGAATCTAACCTAACCTCGAGTGAGTGTCTTTTAAAAAAATGTATAGAACCGTGGATATATCATTTTTTTAAATTATAAACTATTAAATTCTCCGGGCTATTCCATGTCTCTCGGTATTCGCAATATATTTTGCTGCATTTCCCATTGTCCAGATCAGTTCGGTAAGATCTCAGAAAATCAAGAACTCACGACACACGTAAATATAGAATATAGCAGCTCTCTTCTCTAGCTAGCATAATTCACAAGTGCACACGTGTACGTCCACCTGCATGCACGTCGACGTAGACCAGTACACCCTCCAAGGAAACTTCCTTCTGTCATTTCTGCGGAGAACACGAAGTCGCCCACTACCCCCAGTGAATAAGTCAGGAGCGTCCCAGGGCCGTGCACGACATGCTGTTCTTGACAAGTAAAGGCTCGCTGAAACCAAGCGTAGACTCATTAATAATGTAGACGATTCTATTACAATGCGATGAGGAAGAAGAGAAGAAAGGGAAAGGACGTAGGAAAAGAGGACTACGAAGGAGGAGGAAAAGGTGGATTCGCTAGTAGCAATACACGCCATCTACTCTTCAAGAGGCTGATGTGCCAACGACCCATAGAAAACGTGCCTTACGCGGAATACCTGTATAGCATTTTACAGGAGTTATTAGGTAGAAGCAGCAAAGCAAGTTCAGACTGCAGGACATCAATGAGGACCGGCATGAACTTCGATCATGGTAGAAAAATCTTTTTGAGAAACGGCGGGACTTTTGAATCGCTAAAAAAAATATAACACTTATAGTACCACGGTATTACTGTAAACAACGAATTACACACGACTACGTTTTCTGTATTATTTTACACAGTGATCGATCGCCTAGATCTTCCAGATCAAATCGATACTCACGACTTGCTGTCTCGTAGGATAACATAGGAACCTACCCTAGCTCTACTATACCATTCGTTGCGGACTACCTCGATGAAATAACGCGCCGCGAGTTATTAGTCAGGTTATCGGAATTTTTTTTCACGGTGTACTAGGTAATTCGCGTATATAGTAGGTGTACATATATAATTCTATTTACTAGGTACCAACTAGAACTACGATTCTCCCTTATTGATGGACGAACTAGGAATCGTGATGCACTGAAGAGCTTGTCGTGAGAAACTTTCTTTCTATTTCTCATGCTTCCCATCCATGTCAATTCTTCGCAATAAACTTCCATCCCAGTGAAGTGGAGTCTGTCAAGTTGGGTACACGAGTACTCGGCTATACGTATCGGTAACGGTGCGTTCCCATGAATGCAAAACTGTGCCGTTTATCGTTGGACGCGATACAACGAGCGTCACGAATCGCGTAGATCACGATTCCCTGTTTCTTAGATACGGCCATAGGTATATATATATATATATATACTCCTAGTACATATACATTGACTATTATGTGGAAGCCGCCTGAGTTACGGTTAACTTCTACCATGCGTATAGAAAATGTACATCATGTTTTATTCGTATGCTACGGGGTTAGGCTTGGCATAAGAGCCAGACTTAAGAGTAATTGCGTAATGCTACCAATTTCGTGAGTTTTTCTCGCGTTCATGTTGGTAAGACTTGAAGGTACGAACCGGTACCTTTATATAGACATACAGCGGTATATGCTCTGTATATATATATACTCCTAGTCGAGTGCCTATCATCTTCTATACGTAACGCAGCGTAAGCACTCGTACGCGCGGCGTTCATAAGATAATTGCGTAATCTACTCCAACGCCACAATCAACCCCCACGAAACACGAGGCCTAACCCCACGGTGCAATACTGATACCTATATACATGTATAAATTTACATACTAGCATAGGTACTTGCTTGCGATAGTGATACAGGAGGGTCTCTCGCACTACGCAAAGTGAAGAGCGAATCTCAATATACTGTTTAGTATAGCGTATATCTATAGATATGTATACGTATCTCCCTCTAGATCATCCTCCCTACTACCCGCCCTTCAACTCTTTGATTCTCTCTCTCTCTGTGTCTCGGGTCAACTCTTTCCTATTCTCTCTATAACGTCTACCAACAGCGTCTATAAACGCAGTGCTTAAATCCCTCTTACGGGTTTCACTGTGGGGCCACCTGACTCTTGGCAGTACTATGGAGGATTAGATGATCCATCGAATTCCTCAGGATCCAACTCCTTAAGATCAATGATCTACGTTCGATCATTACTTTGTTTGTAGTTCAAATCTAGGATATATGCGTGCAAGTAGTCCATAGATCAAAGGTATGGCGTCAGGATCGAACAATGAGTTTGGACCCAAAGCAATTCCAGGATTATCCGCTAGAGTTGTGCATACGTCTTCCTCTGGTATCTTATACTCTTGTACTGTCTTGTACTTCGACGTTAGACGTTCTTGAAGCGTTGAGATGACGCCAGCCGGACCCGGACCTAGGTGGCGTAACCGAAGGGAAGTGGAAGTCTGTGGAGAAGCACAGACGGCGATATCGACCGCCCGGACCTGCCCCACGCCATTCCGTACTCCACACTCTATACTCTGTGCCCTGTGCAAATATATATATATATATATATATATAAAGTATAAAATATATATACTACTACCAATGCTTCTCTGCCACCACCTTGCATCACTACCACTTTCTGCTACCTTCATCATCGTTGCTCCTGCCCCACTATCACACTGCGTTGTCTTCCCTTCCGTTTACGTGCTAGCACACATGCTTGCCGTCCTACACTGGTTTACTCTGTGTTACAGGGACCCAACGATATGTGCCCGCACGCACTGATACGCATGTGCTTCCTGCGGGAGTCAATTTTTTCCAATTCCCAGCACGGGGTGCTTCTTTGACTTTGGCAAATTTCTGAATCCTCCTCTTCGGTCTGGTTGTTGCTTTCTCATTCATTTCTGAAATATATATAGATATAGATAATATGTATTCTTACACCTGCTGATTTTCAAGGACAAGGTATTTTGACATTATCCATGTCATATTAAGAGTACAAATATGGGTATCCATACCGGGGGTCATCTTTGAAAGTTTATATGTCGATACGATTGCAGATGATATTGGATCTTCTTAAGAGTAAATTTCTATTCAAGAAATAAGCTCGATATGCAAGCGTACCCGGAATGTAACCAAGGTATAAAAAGAGAATTGTAAACTTATCCTCAGTGGTATCATGTAGGAAAGTTTAGCTTGGCATCCGTAGAAAACGAAAGTCTCCAGTGTTTACTTGCCTCGCTTCCATCCACATTCTATCCAAAGTTTGGAACGAGGTTCGCGTTAAACTCCTCAACAGGCAGAAACGTTCAGCCACCGTATGGTTACGCTGTAGTCAACTTTGCGTTCTATCCAGGCGTCTTCGTTTGCTCGGTCACCATCATCGTCGTACAAAGAAAAAAAAAATATCCAAGGAACACGATGTTCTCCATTAATTGGCAAAGGAGCTACTTGGTCCGTCGCTGTGGAATGTCCCAGCCTGAAAATACAATAAGAGGAATGATTCCTGGGGATTTTGCCTTAACCCAAAGTTCCAGAGTCAGGATCAACATCCCCGTAGTTTGATAGCCAGACAAGAGATGTCTGTATAGTTACGAAGCCATCATTCCAGAACAGTTAGCTGCGGACGATGGAGTAGAGGGAACAGTAACGTCGGCAACAGGGCCGTTAACACAGGGGTGGCAGGTAAATTCCCACCCCTCGATAGTCTGTCGTTAAACAGAGCCATGATACGGGCCAGGGTTGTGACGCAGTCTCACCCCGGTCTAGACGCACCCCAACACCGATACGCAACCATTCCCACCTACACCCTCAACAATTTACTACCCTGCCCGTTAATGCCGCGCCACGAGTAACCTACCCCCTCGCACTAACCTCACGGGGGTAGCTGCCACCACACAGTCGCGCATGGACGCGTACCGACATAGGAGTTCCTCATCCTGCGAGCGAGCAAGAGGGAGAATACCAGCGCACAGGGTCATAGGGTTGTAAACCCACATAAGAGCGAATGGGAGGAAAAGAGAGAAAGAACACGTGGGTGAGGCTGAAGGCTGCGGAGCATGCTGGGAAACCGGAGGACAGAAGACTGGCTCCTGGTGTGCGTATACGAGAGAGCATCATCCCCCACGCGAATGGGGGTTAAGCTATGAGCATAATGAAAAGCAGATTAAAAACTTTACCCGGAGATGGCAGCACCGGCTAAGAATGATGTGACTTGATTGGATGAGAAGATGGCTATGCTCTTGGCTTTAGTTTTACACCCTGGACCTTAATGGATGCCACTGCTGTTACCATGCTGAGCTCTTCTTCTATCCTCAATAATTATGTGCCACGAGATCAGCTTTGAAGCTTCTGCATATCCAGGGATGCTCTTGTTTATGACGCATACACGAGTCTGTGTAGATATGGGATGCTGAATTGGAAGGTATGTAAGCTGGCGCAGGATTACTGTTGGGATGCAACTGGTACTGTAAAATAATTGAACGATTTAGGTAGAGAAAGTATTTCACTCTTTTTTTTGTCCACTCCGGGTTTTTGTCGATTATGCCGATATTTATTGGACGTATTGGGCGTTAGGTGGCACGCGCACGTCTCGTTGAAGTTTATTAATACGGTACACAGGTTTACTCAACATAAACGTCAAAGCTGTATAGCCGAAATCAATTTTGTTATAATCCTTTAAAAAATGTGCCGATTGAATGAATTTGATATCTTAAGATTTTTTAAAATATCACTCAAGGATAGATCCGTATATAAACCCGTAGAAGGGTCAATTAAAAAAAAAATTGAGATAATTCAGAGCGATTTGGGCCGCGAGTATGTCCGTCCTTGTCTTACGCGCGTAGAAGCTAATGAGTATGTCTCTCTCACACTCATGGATGGTATATGAAATCACTAAATTTTTAAAAATTCTTCTAAAGCCATCTCTCGTTCGCGGGTCAGATTTACGATTCGTTGACAAACGATGAAAGCGTTTAAACTATTTTGATTGCATAATTTAATAAAATTCAATTAAAAGGATCGCATGGCAGCTATCAAATCCGGAGTGGTACTTTTGAGCTGGAAAGTACGGTATGCCGCTTGTTTTATTTTATACGTTCAGCCTTGTATTTCAGGTTTTGAAATTTAAATGAAGCCGCTTGCCGTTCGCTATCGATATGCGAAGCATCGTGAGTCCATAGGGCTAAAAACCCAGTCTATTCGACATATCAATAAAGTCGACAAATACCAAAACGTTTGCCGTTTTTATACGTAACTTTACCCTACGACCTGACCTTGTTTTCAAGTCCTACCCATCTTCAACCGGATACAGTTTCATCCAGCAATGAAAAAGATCTCATACATCCACCAAGATACACATCTCCCTGCACTTATTCCCAGCCCAACATTACCTAGCATGATTATCAAGCACTTCTTATGTAAATAAATTCCATGATTTCACTACCCAGCATAGTAATAGTGACCCCTTAAATTCTCGCCATTTTCTACCCCAATTATCCTTACCACCCTGGAACAATAAATCTAGCAGCTTCCATCAAACAACGTACTCTCGATTGTCCTGGAAGATCGACCGGAAGTCAATTTAATCTCGTCTCCGAAGTATACCGAATAACCCCATGGGTCTTTCAAGCCAGGTCTGATCAGATTCTCCTCGTCATCAGTTACGTCTATTCAGCACGTCCAGGTGTAACATCCTCAAGAAACCTAGGGTATTCATAGACCAACACACTCAATCCTTCATGATGCGACGTACAGAGACGCGGCTCTCACGTATACAGTCTCCAGGACGGAATTCAGAGATCCAGAGATCTCTGTCGAGGAGTCCCAAGGAAGCGGACGGATGGATAGCCGGGACCCAGACACTCGTCGAATTACGAGGTTCGCTTACGTCTGGATACATCGCTCGAGTGAACGAGCTAGTGCGGCAGCGGACGACCAGGGTTTATAGAGCTGCAGGTACACCAGGATACGAGGACGCACACACCGACGTGGTTTTACTGTTTCGGAAGTCTAGCCGCCCCCGGCTATCCGCCTATCCTCTCTGTGCTCCTCTTGCACCACCTCACCTAGAACCCGGTGCACCCTGTCAGCCTTTCGCTACCGGCATACCCCAATCCCCTTGCTCTCTCTCTCTCTCTCTCTCTCTCTCTCTCTCTCTCTCTCTCTCTTATACGACCTTCCACCCCTCGACCAGACTAGCACACACTGAAGTCGTAAACCTGCACCCTGCTCTCGCACCGTTTTCTATCCTCTACCATCCCTAACCGTATCAACCCTCTCACTCTGACTCTCTGTCCCTCTTACGCTAACCCTGTCTCTTTACCCCACTCGCTTTCTATCCATACCTCAGACTCACCCTACTCCACGTAGGAGTAACCACCTTCTACGCCCTTTCCAGCCCTCTCTATACCCACTGGCGGATCCCTTGAATGCACCAGCTCTTTCTCATCGTCTGTCTGACACGCACGCCATCGCCGGCACTCGGTACCTTATGCTATATACCTTCAACCTTCTAGGTGGCTTGCTCCCTACCTACCTAGGTCTACCTACACCCATCAAAGATACTTCACCCTGTCCAAGGTGTAGGTGGAACGTAATTTCTTCCGTATGGTGGTGGTAACTTTTTCCCTGACATCCAGTCGCAGCCCCTTTTTTCGGCTAACCTGACTGCGATTGGCTTAAGGGAACTCTAAGTGATGGCAACGGCCTTTACGGCTTCTCTATTTTAATACGGTTCTTGCTTTTCAAGAGAATTCCGCATAGCTCATGGGGATGAAGGTGTGTTTTGGAAGATTATGAAACGAGACTCCCGCGACCTGAGGAATATGTAGGGAACGATGCCAGACGAGTTTACTGATATGATTTTCTTGATGGTAAGTCTAGTGTGCCTTGGACGAGAGAAGAGATATTTTCGTTATCTGAGTGTCGCAGAGTGGTGGAGATTTAAAGTAGGGACAGTAAGAGGTTTATGGGGATTTTAGGTGAGTTTTCATGAAATTAATACAGAGTTTAGTTTTGCGACCGTAAACTAGAGCCAGACGGTAGTAAAACGGGGGAAATGGCGAAGGACAGTACCGTCTCGTCTGCAGACATTAATGGGTCACAAGATGTGCTTAATTATAAATTGATAATAGAACCTGACCTCTATAATAAATGAGACGTTTAAAAGAATTTCGACTGTTGACAGATCTTATATAATTATAGATATAAAAATAGAATCAAATGCTACGTTGCTTTATCTTTAATAAAATTATAGTGACAACCAGAATCATCTTATCATCACCACGTGTCGCATGTGATATCTACTGATCTCATGGTCTGACCTGCTTTCGAAATTAAATTTTCTTTCTATAAGTTTCAATTCTATAGCGGATTCTATTAATAATTAATTGATGTAATAATCAATTTATCTTTATGAAGATGACTCTATCATTATAGAAAAAATTTATTCTTGTTCTACAGCCCATGCGCCAGCATAGAAACGTCAAACCTTATTCTACAAGCCTTCAAGATAACAAACGTGCCACAATTTATCGACACTAGAAAATGAAGGGGGAAAAAGAAGCTTCGGAGAGACTTCCAAGAGTGTTCTCTAAGGCAGCGTTCGACACTGACTAAACGAGACAGGGAGCCATGGCGTTCAAAAGTAAGGATGGTTCCACTACCACCCACTTCCACACCCTCATTCTGAACCCCAGCTCGGCAAACCCATAGCCACGAACACTTTGACATCCTCACGCACATGGCTAAGTCTCAACCCCATAAACGCAAGCCCTTCGCCGTGATGCACAACCCCCTGAACTGCCTGTGGCCCTCTTCGTCGACTTCACGACCCCTCAGCCGTCCCAACGTCAAGTTTCTCCAACGCCATTGGCAATCACGCAGCCATAGTTTCCACAGCAAAATGGCCACGACAGTGAACTTCATAGCCTAGAAATAGTCGTATACATTTAATTATTTTGTGTGTACAGTCATAATTTTTTAAATACCTATAGATATGATATTATGTAAATATAATGATAAACAAAAATAAATCCATACCCGTCTTAAAATTATACGTAGATGCGATATGCTGCTGCACTTCCATTTTTATCAAACATCAAAATTTTTGAATTTTATACTTCAAATTCCAGCTATCACCCAGGATACATTCTCTTTGATATAAGTTCTGTTTTTCTTTGAACGCTTGACGAATGACCGCGTTCCCTCAGCTGGTTCCGCCTTCTCGTCTTCGCAATTCTTTGTACGACCAAAAGAGCTTTTCTAAGAGTCTGAATTTTTGCCCAAGTCTCTCTGTAACCTAGTATTCTGGAGGTTCTCGTAAACTGACGTTTGCTCTTTCTCTCTCGCATCATCCTTCACTATTTTTATAAGAAGATCGATCACGAACAGAAATCAAAGTATCTGATAATTTGAAGGTTACCGTAGTATTATACAAGCTCCAGGAAGACCGTGATGCAATCCTTGCCTCTGGAAGTACAAAACTCAACGTCCTTCGCTGTCACTATACCCTCCATTGAAAAGTGTACGCATACTTCCTGAAATGCATCAGGATAAATCCTATGTACAGAACAGCCAGGCACGATTCAAGGATATAGGATTGTCGAAAAACGATAAGAATTTAATCTACCTTCTTTTTCGCTGTCCTCGGCGTTCGAATATCGGTTAGCTATTTTTCCTTGGGCTTTCGGGAGAATGCAGTCGGCCAAAATGTGGCTCCTTTGCAGGAAGGGGCTAGGGACTAGCGAGGGCGGATCAATACAATCGCTAATCCGGTGCATTGTGAGGCGAGGCGTGGCGTGGCAAAGAGGCGAGGTGAGGTGGTGGTCTTGGCTTCCTTCTCAGCCCAGTCTCAACCCCGTCTCAGCCCCATTTTACCCCGTTCTCCGTTTGAGCCCCGTTGCGTTCCCTCGCCGTCCTACCCAAGTATACTTGCTTGCTTGCTTCCTTGCCTGCCCACCCGCACCGGGGTCCGCCGTCTTGCCGCACTTCCGTTTCCAACCCTTAACCTACCCCCGACGAACCAACAGCCCCTTGGGTCCAACGGTGTAGGACGAAAATCGAAGACCAGCCTTTAGACAGGCTGAACACTGTAGTTGTGTGTTTCTCAGTGATGTCAATCTCCATTATCCTGCGTGAGCCGGACCGAACTTCCTACAGATATCAGAAACATGGCAAATCAGTTACACTATTACAACTTTAGAACATTAAGGCATTTTGTAATCCTAATATAAAAATATAATATGTAATACGTATTTAATTGCCACAAATATATTGAAATAAATCGAATGGATGATATAACAATTTATCAAATATGTGTATTATTCAGGGAGAATACTATCTAATTATTTCATTAACTAACACAATTATTTATCGCTATTGGATCGACCTAAATAATATCCGATTTCAACGAGTGGATCTAGCTCAACATTTTCATGCAATAATGACAAATACTTCAAACAGTACGTTAAACACGTTATACAATAATCTCAGAGGACACGGATCTCATTAAAACTTTTACAGAGATGCAAAAGTAACCCAGAAATGTATTTGTTTGAAAGTTAATGGTTCATTATAAGAATTAAACTTAGACCGACGGATTATTAAATCCAGACACTCAGTTAAGAATTTGATATCGGAAAGGAATCTTTGCACTGAAGTATCTCTAGAGCAGGGTGAAGTATTTTATGTAAAATTGACATTATGACTCTCAGAAAGAAACCCAAGTGTACGATCCTACGCCACTGGTTCGTCCACCCCTTTTCTAGCTATACCACCCCAGCATCCTTCGCAGGACCGCCCACTCTTAAACGAGATGGACCCAAACAAACTCGTTCACTAACAGCCGAAACTGTGTTACTAGAATAAACTCTGTCCGAGGCAAAAGCAATTTACCAACACGGTAAGGCAAGCACACACGCCCTTGTATAAATACATGCATACGTGCAGTTACCCGCTCAACACAATAAGCGCAAGCCAGTTCCCTTTCTGTTGGCATCAGAAGTAGAAGAAAGTGCAATAAATTGTGCATATAATGCACTCTAAAAGTTCTGGCGTCAACAGTAAACTGTATACGTATTAATAGAATCGCATGAACCATCTATATTGTACGGTTTATGACATTGACTAATTGTATAAATAACTTAGATCTCTCGTAATGCATTATTCACTTTAGCCAGACGAAATGCCTTGTAAAATTTTTAACCATTTGTAAAAATGAGCAAGAAAACTTCTAGTATCATCAGGGACTCCCTAGCCTCTCCAGTGTTCTACCTACCATGACAGATCTACCGTTAAAAAGCATTTACACGGCAACGTACTTGTCACAGTGTAAGCCGTGTATATAATCGTTGAGCCTTGTAACGCGCAAGGACGCTAGAACAGTCTGAGCTCTCATTTCTGCCTTGTTTCTTTCTTTGAATTTCGCCGCGCAGACCGCAGTGTAAGGTTGATCGACTTTCAGTTTTTGGAATCACTTAACCGCGGCACGCATGATTATATCAAATAAACGAATTCGCTGATGAACAATCGTGCGGGACGAATTTCCCGTGTCGATGTGACTAGGGTAGATAGCAGAGCCCGTGAAGAAGAGATGTAACAGCTGAAGTGAGATAAAGTGGGTCGCAAAAAAGGCGTGCCAGATGCGTCGCAAAAACGCAATATGAAAAAAGCATAGGGAATACGTGATCGAATCGAAGGTTTCTACGGCGAGTTTTCATTGTGTTAATTGCGAATTGCTAGACGTCTGATGACTCTGCGATATTATCTTGCGGTTAGAAAGAAATAGTGAAATAAAAATATCGAAAAAGAAGCAACGATTCCGCAAAGATGAATCACTGCGTCTTGATTAGCAAGTTGCAGTGATTCTTCTGAAAACTAAGAGAATTAACCGTGACGTGGAACGGCAACGGTAATATCGTGGAATCTCGACTAACGTACGCGTAACAGAATTTTTTACCCTGAATTTACTGGGTACGTGGCAATATGGCTACGTAGCTATCGGGGGCTCCCAATTATTGAGTGATTGCTCGTAGATTATAGGAAATGCAGTTCTGCCGACGGAAAGTGTACCCGGTATTACTGTGTACTGCGCCAGGACTTCTCTACCTCCGCAGCCTCTCGGGTTGGCTGGTCCTCTGTGAATTGGTTATTGGTATTTGCCATTTGGTTGGGTAGGCATCGGGCAGACGTAGACAGCCAGGCATCCAGGTTTCCAGGTTTTCAGGGAGACTGGCAGGGAGACATGGATATTTTAACCTTCTTGCGCGTGGGAAGCCTGCGTCTGCCTGGTTATCGAGTATTGGTTAGCGTCAGAACCTTGATGCTCCACGTCCGGTTTCCCTAACCGTCTGCCTCTGGAAAGTTAAGCCCAGTTCCGCAATTGCTCTTCCTTTATCTTACTCTTTCTTACATACAGTCACCAATAGTCACCTTCCTAGTTCCTCTGTAGCTCTTCATCTTCTCTGCTTTCATCTGACCACTCAGACTTCAATTAATTTCCCTGGTTAGTGGGTCCGGCGTTTTCCAATTTCAAATTTCGCGCGTTTCCCTCCTCTCCTTGGCAACACTGAATGGTGAAACGGCCACCTGTATACATATAACAGTGAAAAAAAATTTGAAGATTTTTCAAAATTTTCTTCAAAATTCAGTTTAGGATGAGAAGAATTCTACGCCTGACTATATGTCTTTTTTTTCCATTTACTATATTTGTAAACGACCCATACGGATTCACCGCAGACTGCAGATTATTCATTCATCAATAAAGTACACAATACGGTACACGCATCGTATCGTATGTCAGAAATGGACAGACTTTGATCTCGTCCCACAGAGCTCTCGACTTTGTAGATTGATTTATAATGGGCGGAGGTGTGGCAGAATCCAACACCAATATCATGCCAATGGTCGAGCGCGTGGACAATTATCGTGCCGGACAAAGGCTACGGGGGTGTACGTTATATACCAACTATAGAGAGCATACCTGTATATACAAATATATACGTATCCCATATAACCTACAGCACTTTACGCAGCTGACGCGTCTCGTATTAAGAACGCGTGGGTTTCCTCTTGCGTGGGCCATACACCCGCAACATATTCACATATACATAAATATAGGTACTTGCCACACATACCCAAGAAATAAACAAATTTTTGTCTGTTTCACGAATGCGTTTCATTTTGGCAAAAATATTCAGTCCCAGGGACGTTATTTCCAACTGTCCACTCGAATCCATTGTATCCAGTCACTTCCGCTGTTGATAATAATACTTGAGTAAAATCGTTTACGAGGAGAAAATAAACTTCCACTATTCGTACAGAGAGTACTGGTATAATACTAACGTTTTCTATTTCTCTCTTGCTTCTCCTTGTGGTAATGAGCTCGTAAATACACAGCAATCATCGAGCAAGACATGTAGGTACACCCTCCTTGCCCCACGGCTATTCTATACACATAGACACGTATATGCCTTTACATTCTAAGCGGCTCGCCTAGCCGGGAATCATCTTTCCTTCATGACCGGCAGGTTTATGTCTTTGCTCGTCACGCCTCTGCGCCGCAAGACCTCTTCCACGAGGTGTCTCCACAACTTTACTGCTTACGATTAGAAGAATACAGAAATGGCGCTGAAGGACAGAGAAGCAATATAAGTTTTCAAAGGGTGCGGATCAGAGAGGAGGGCGGTCAGGTTGACGAGACGCACGTGCCACACTGGGGGGAAAAATTAATAATTTCTCTTACCTTCGCCTGCTGGATGTGTACTGGGGATGAGGCGTATAGGGAAGCATCCACAAGGAACGTGCACAAGGCGCCAAGAATTGTATAGGTTGGAAGTCATTTTGTTTTTACTTTGATACGTGCATCGGTGAAATTGTCGTGATGTTCCTGGGAGAATGATTCGTGTCTTGGTATTCCTGAAGGAATCGACTCCCAATCAGGATTCTCTGGATCTCGTCAGTTCCTGGCAAACACTTCCTGAGCTATATCTATTACGGGAAATATTTTTCCGACGAATTGCCATTGGGACGTATACGAAGATAAGGACGCTTCTTCGGGGACAGTGCCTGCAATCGTATGTATCAGAAAGCCACTTGGAATAGAAAGAAAATTCTACTAGCGATCTCAACTATTTTTCCTACGAATTGCATCCGTATAGTACGCGCCGATAAGTTGAAAGATGGCGGATCCTTTGGACGGTTATGTTCGATGTCTTTTTTGGAATTCCTTGCGTTGTCGGAAGTACTCCACCAGTCTATCCTAACCTATCGTTCATATAGGTATGAAATATGATCTTGACACTTTATAAGATGGAAATTATTTCATACGTTACGTTATTCTCTTCTTCTCTATATTCCAGAAGGCGTCCGAATAATATATCATTATCATTATACTTTTGGTATCAAGCATGTTTTGCATTTCCAAAACTTTTTTAAAGGGATATAGTCTTTCTCATGCGTGATCCTTTTAAACCGTCCGATATCAAGGAATTCCTTTTTTCTGGCGTGTCGAATGAAACTGGGCAGCCACATAAAGAAAGCACGACCCGAATCGTGGCGTCGGGACGATATCGTAACAACATCTCAGGATCGGCGGTCTGCGCGAACACGAATAAATTTCAACGACGTTAAACCTGGCGAGGATCTCTTTCTTGAAAACCTCAGAGCAACAGTCGTGTTTCTTGTCGAAGACATTGGCTCACCACCCACATTAGATGCTTAGAATATTTATTACCAAATAAATGTCAGTAGTGGTGTCAAAACTTAACACTGTATCCCATTAACTTCATTTGGTATGTAATTGCTAAACGGGTAAATAACACAATTAATGAAAATGGTTTTATATGCCTGATTTGCACAAAAATTTTGCGAATTTTTATAAGAACTATGGCCGGAGGCTTGTAGATTGTAAGAAGTTGAAATTTACAAAGATATGTTTGAAAAGGACAACGGAAATTGAGAAACATTTGAGGAATATTTAATGGTCGTATCTCTTTGATTATAATAAGAAACATTGACGAGGAATATCAGTAGTTCTAGTGGATCTTTTATGGAAATTTTCAATAGGTCACCGAAATCCCATTAAAAGAATGGCGATTGGAATCTGTAGGTTCGCCCATCATCGAAAGCTTATTGATTACAGTTTATAGTGTCAGATAAGAATGTCGGAGTTCTGAAATAATCGACTCTTTATAACAAGACTAATGAACGAGTAAAAATGTAGATTAAACTTTATTTCGCTTGGTATTATATTTGCCTTAAGCTATTCTCTATAGTGATTCCACTTATTTGAAAAGAATAAATCTCTACCGCTAAGGCTGGGGTTACTTTGGTCGTCGTGTGTGGTGGATCTGTGGCGCCATCGAGTCTTTAAAGTACGAACTAAAAAGAGAAACTAAGGAAAGTAGTCTACTGTTACCAGCACGATTTATCTTGGTTTCTGACGTTTTTGATTATTGATATATCAGCTGATGGAATAACCTTAATGGTATTGCTGCTTCTAAACATTTATACGAAATCTGCGAAAGGTTTAATGATTTACTATACTGAACTTCAGTGATCGTGTGAAGAGGTATGTTATTGTGTTTTATCGATACGTGTTTGTATATATTTTTAATGGTTTAATTGTTTACAAAATTCTCATAATTTACAGAACGGCACGCGATGGGTACCTGGAAACTTGAGGTTTTACGGATGGCAATTTATATGGCATTTCCTGTTGGTCTTTTTCATTATTTCAATCAACCTGAAAATTTTGAAGAATGGGTAACAAAAGTGAAAAGAGAAACTTACCCTCCTGAAAATAAAGAAAATACACTTTTGCTTCGAAAGACTATTGAGGAACATCAAGCTGCATATCAAAAAAAGGTTTTAGAAGCTTTGGAAGCATCGCAAGCACAGATAGATAAAGATAAACTAAAAAATTGAAGTTTTAATATACATACGTTTTAGTGATACGATAAAGATATTTCTTTCATTTACAGTCATGTATTGATGCTTATGTATATAATAGTATAGACCTTAATAGTATTTTAAATAAAAATTAAATATTATTTTGATATCTTTATTGCATTGAATATTAGTTTATATGGGAGTTCATTGACATATTTGCAACCCCCACCTAACAATTTTGTATATATTATTAAAACCCTGAAGTCACTTCATGATAAATTTAGATGGAATTTATTCATGCATAAAGTTCAATTAAATATCTGACTGCTTAAATGATTTAAAAATAAACAATTTCATACATCATTGGTAATGTACTAATATTCTATAAAACTAATAGATTAACATTAACTAGTTTTCAAATCTTTGTACTCAATATGTTTTACTCTCATAGCTATTGGAATTCCAATAATAGTTAAAATAGCTGCTACAAAACTAGCACCATTACTACCATAGTAATCATCCATAATACCTGCAAGTAAAGGAGCTACTAAGCGAGCTACGTTTGTCATACTATGCATAGCTCCTAAAATTGATCCACGTTGTGAGGGCAAACATCTTTTTAGGATCATGTTAGTTTCAATTACTCTTAAAAAGCTAGTGCTGATGCGTAGTGGAATCATCCACAACATAAAAATAGTTAAATTAGAAGCTGTTATATTGCCCAAAAAGCAAATTGTCATAATAGCAAACCCATGTGCATTCCGGCGTTTATAATCAAGGTCATTTTGATAAAACTTTCTGTCTATCCATCCAGTAGTAAATCCAGCTAGGGTACCAAAAAGTCCTTGCAGTGAAATAGTATAGCCAACCCATTTTGGAGTCACATCATATTTCTCTTGAATTCGAAGAGTATAATTTGATATAAAAACAGAAAAAGCAATAGCCAATAGGAACTTCAAAATGAAAACGTCCCAATATGTCAACCAATCAACATTAGTAAGGTTGCGTATTGCTTTAATTACGTTGTTATGTAAGTTTTGGAGTTTGGTCTGTGAAGATGACACATTTTTCTCTATTGTGTTGGTACGTGGCAAGTCATCAAAAACTAGATATGCAATTGCTATAAAAAGAAACTTTTGATAATACCATATTAATCTAATATTTTAGAGAAATCTTATACCAACCAATATTAATTGCAAATATAATACTGATGCACCAGCCAAGATATAAATATCCATTTTCAAATTCAGCTAAATGGCCTCCAATGACAGGACCTACTATAAATCCCATTCCTGATATGGCACTCAAACGTCCTGACTCCAAACTTTGCTGGTTTTGTGGTATTCTATCAGCCACAATGATACGTAGAAATACTTGAGTTTGTTTGAATATACCTAAATTATACAAGACAACATTTAATGAACATTCAGTGAACTTGATTAATTTATACCTCTGTACTAATTATTTCGAGATAATATCTTCATTAATTCTTGTATAATAGTACCTATTATTATTCTAAGTAAAAGTATAGTATACAAAGTATGTATCCATCCCAATACTGAGTAACACACAGCGCATACAGCTAGACAAGTGATAAAAATTTTTTGCCTTCCAATTGTATCACTCCAACTGCCCTGAAAGTACAAAGTATTAATAACAACCAAAAATATCATTTGTACTTTAAATTAAGGGCATCTTGACTCACAATAATAGGACCACTAATAAGCTGAGCACCTGCATAAACGGAACCTGTGAGTCCAATAAAAAAATGTGACGCACCCAACTGCCTCAAGTATGGTGACATTAAAGGAATAATTAAACTGACAGCTAGCAGATCCTAAAATGAAAAATCATTTACAATGATCAATGAAATCTCGTTATGATAAAAAGATCTTACCAAAAATGCAGCAGTGTGTACCCATGCTGGATGAAATTTCATGTTATAATATAGAATGATCTTTAAATACTACATATAATTGTGTAATTTTTTTATTTATAGCTCAAATAAATAATATTCTATTACTACTTCAATTATCTCGTACAATTACGAAACAGGCTTGCCAATGTAATGTCATTCCTTTCAAATTACATTAAGAGACTTTTAAATCACAAGTAAATATGGCGCGTTAATTTTTATATCGTACGTTCATATTTTTGTCTTTTTTCGAGCACGCTTCACTGTGAAACAATTAATCTTTTTATTATACGTTTCTTACAACATATTGTGCATAATTCTTCATATACAAAGAGACAGATAGTAATTTGTGATTGCGTAACAACAGATAATAATGAAAGTTCATCTATGAACGTAGTACAGTAATTAAGTTTGAAATTGTAGAACAAGAAAAAATCTAATTGTTTGAATGCATGCAAAGGTATGATTACAACACGAATGCAATGTAATATAACTATTACTCTTGTAAGGAATATGTAATGAAATTGGTTTGCATAATATTGTGTAAAAATCTATTAGATATCACTAATTAGTTATTAAGATTTAAAGAAAAATTTGTTGCGCTAATTAAAAATCAAATTTCACTATTTCCACCCTAATGTTGTACGTACACGTTGGTAAGAATGGGAGCGTGTTAGAATGGCTGTCGAAGTGCAATGTTTTGCTTTCATGGCGTCTTCCTTTTTAAAATATCTTACAAGTATTCCAGTGTAATCAAGTTCATTTAATTATTTTTTATAGTGAGTGATTAATTGTTTAACATGGAATCGCTGCTGCCTTCAGAAGTTGCTCGATTAGTCCTTGGTAAGGGTCTATTTACATTTTATAAATTGCTCAATGCTAACCTACTTGAATGGCGGGAATATTAATGTAGGGTAGAGTATTCAAAAATTCGTATCAGTAATTTTCTATAGCATTTATTTTGTAGTTCAGGAATATTTAATTATTTTCTTTCTTTGAACGATTATTTTATTAACCACTCAATATATGGAATGAATCTTCAACAGTGTAACGAAATTATAATGAATCTCGTAATGGAAAGTTGTCTTACTGTAGAAAGATATATTTATGACTATAAATTTCTTTACAGATGAACTAATAATGATTTTATTTGTTTTTGGATTTATAAATAATGTCCTTAATTACTCTTCTATAATTCCTTTTAAATAATTATTGCATTCTATATGGAATTGTTAATTAGATAAATTCCTATATCATGAGACATCATTGCCCTTTGTTCCTAGGTTACCTCGAAGACCAAAAATGTGATGAGGCTGCCAAAGCATTCTTACAGACATCGTCCCACTTGCAAGAATGCAGAACAGTTGTGTCTAATGGAAAGCGTTTCAGCACTAGAGTGAATGGATTCACCCTTCTTGATATCCTTGAAAAGTTTTCTGCAGCTAATGCCATAAGTAGGTATTTTTTATATAGCCCAGTTATATGGAGAATTTAAATTTATTAAATATTTTACATAAAATGTTTTTCCATCGACAATAGTACAAGAACGCTTAAGTAGATTAGCAGACTGTGAACAACTTAAACACTGTGGGGACTTGCTGGAACAGCTTAGATTTCTTGTTGAAGGTTCTCGTGCTCAACGTTTTGTTGTAAACATTAATGTACCACCACAGGCAAGTAAATTGTTGATGCAATGACTCGTAAATAAATATGAGTGTATACAGAATATCTACCACATTAAGAATATTTTGTTCATTCTATGTTAGCATGGTTTAGATACAAATATTCTAGCAGAAGAGGTTGCACATTTGGCTGAATAATTACTAATGGAATCCGATTATACTTTTATTATAGACGAGTTCACAATCTGCTGGAGGATCTCCGATCATATCCAGCAGTATACGCAAAAGACATCATAGTGGTAGTGATCGTGAACGATGTAAACGTGCTGCAAAATCATTCCCTCAAATATACGATAAACAATATGAATCAGTCTCGAGTCAATGTAAGAAATAATCATAAAGCGTGAAAGGCAAGATGTTAATATAAAAAATAATGATTTCGCTCAATTATATCAGTAGGGTGCGATACGATAGAAGCAACGCCATTGGAAAGTTTACCAGGTCATGCTGATTTATTGGCATCACATGATTCTGGAAGGTTAAACAATTCTGAACGAGGTAGCGGGGATAGCTATTGTACTATTAATAAGAACAACACCGTTAACAATATCACGAAAACGCAGACAGCAGATTTCGTAAAGGAGAGCAGCAGTGTTGATTCTTGCTCAACGAATCAGAAAAATAAAAGTTCAAGTACGTAACAGATAATAGCCATATTTAAATGTGTTTCCTAAGTGATATTTCTCTTGAATACGATTATTTAACTAAAAATATTATTAGCAGATAATGATAGCCAGACATGTGAACCTGAACCTAGTAATTTTGATAAAGATAACGAGATTGGTCAAGATGCACAAATTAAACCATTTGGAGTATGTATGGGAACTAGTACGGACGAGCTGGCTTACACTAGTGCTGAAGTACAAACTACGCCTTATGATATTCAAGAATCTGAATCAGAATCGAATGACGAGCCCATAGAAAATCTTAGTGTGAGCATTTAAACTTGTGTGATTTCATTAAAGATCTTCAGATCCCGTATGTGAATCTTTGTAATTCTTTTAGTTACTGACAAAGGAGTTACTGAATCGTACTGAATTGCAAGAACGAATTGCTGATAATATTAACAAAGCTATATTACCTGGAGATGCCTCCTTTAAGGACGAGAGTCTCTGCGAGTCTATGGGTGGAGAATTGAACACTTCAATTATGTCAGAATTAAATAATGCCATCAAATCCATAGTTCAAGCCACGGAGACTGATCCAGTTTTTGAACAATTCTTTGAAGAGATTATTGGACCTAACATAGAGACTGATACAAGTCCAGATGAAGAGATTGATTCCAAGTTCAATGTGGATCCCAGCAAAGAAGTGTATGTTCTTTCTATTTGTTTTTTACAGCCGGTTTTTTAAAGAAAATTTCTCGAAGGATCATATGAATTGTAGGTCATGTGAAAAACATGTTGAAGCGGTTATTGAAGATACAAGATCACAGGAACCTGGACCAATTACGGCGAAGTCTACATCCGGTTCCAGTGTGGTTGAAATTCCTTTAAAACATAGACTACGTAGTTCATCTAGACAGCAAAACACTAGAGTTGAAGATGAGACTGATAAATTAAAAGAACGGGAAAAAGAAGAGAGTGCTCTGCATGATCAGAACGCTGCTGCGATTTTGAGCATAATAAATGTTAATATGTCTGGGGAGATAATACACGATGGTAAAAGGGGCCATCATGTCCTGAACGAACAAATCTGCTTAAATACTGAGACTGAAAAAATATCAGAAAAGCGAGAAGCGCAAGTGGAATTGCATGTTAAAGAACCGGTAGTACAAATGCCAGAAGCATCAAGCATGCCGGTAAGTCAGGAAGCAAACGTTGCTATGCCATATCCCAACAATACTGTTGAATGTAAGAGTACAAGGAAAAATCCAATTAAAAAACCAAAACCCACAAAACCCAAACACATTTTGGAGAATGACGCAGAAAAATTAATTTCCGAACAGGAGATGATGGTTATGCCGACGTTAATTGTTTGCTCAAAAGAAGAAGTAACCAGTCTACTGAAGACAAATTCAAACTGTAAGACTAATATTAATAATAATAATAATAAAATTAATTTTTTGTATCAAAAACTATAACGTTTCTTTGTGCTTTTTAGATCATGCTGCAAACTCTGGAAATATTTCTTCCAGTTCCAGTTCACACTTTATTCCTATTGCTCCAAAAGGTACTAGTTTAAATAATAATTTCTATACTATATATTAATATTTTTTATTTTTTAGATCCATTGGGTATTCCGCCACCAGAAAAAATATATTTGCGGGCTGTTAACGTTTGTCAGAAAGTGGCTGTACCTCCGGATCCAATAGAAGTCAAGCTGGCACAAACGGAAGAGACAAAAGTTCAAAGAGCTGTGCAATCGTCCAAAAGGAAGCCGCGTAAAGTAACAAAAAAACTCAAAAATACTCAAGTTGTTGAAAAGCCTGTACAATCCGCCATGGAAACTGTTACAATAAGTGACACACCGGCTGTAATTAATACTTCAAGTGAAATTGAATCTATAACATTGTATGGGAATGAGAACAGTGCAGGCACGACTTTGGAAAATGCCAATATGCCTCCTATCAATCTAGACGAATCTATCAGCTTATGCGGAACAGGTCTGTCGCCATTTTTAAAATTCCATGATAAGGCAAAACAACCCCAACACGAAACGAGCATCGTGATGAAATCTGCAAATGACGTTATACCGGAATCGAATAGAGTGGAAACAGCAGTACAACTGCCAAAGGATAAAGCAGGTGAAGAGCAGAACTCAATAGCCGGACGTAGTTCCTGTGATGTGATTACTAAACGTACACCAAGATCTTTGTTAAAAAGTAGGTCCAAAAATTATAGGTTGAGTATGTCAACACCTCGAAGAAGAAGTAGTCATGTTAGAGCGCTTGATTTCACTACACCAACAAAGGTAACAAGTTCTGGTCGCCGTTTGAGTACCAACGAGAGTGTTCAATTTTCTCCAAAATCATCAAATCGATCAAAGTCTGTGTGCAGAACTACATTATTCAAGTCTCCGCCATTTGGAAATTCACCAGTCACTGTCCAGAAATTAAAAAGTCCGTTAAAAATTTGTCGACCCTGTAAAGTGCCAATTGCTACAAGGAGTCCTGCACCAAAATTAATGGGTGGTTGGGAAAAGTATACTGGGGTTGGACTGATTTTGGGCGGTACATCACCGCACTCTAGTTCAAGGACTACTTCGCCAAGTAAAAATCAGACTCAGTCGTCAACTAAGGAAGCACCTGTTATTAAAAAGAGTTGGGATGCGGATCTACGAAAAATTCTGCAAGCATCCAAGGAGAAGGAGGAGGTAGTTGTAAAAACGACAAAGACAACGAAGAAGAGGGAATCGACTAAAGATAAGTCAAGTAGTGCGACGTCGAAAAAGGAAGTGGTGACAAAGAAAAATGCTAAATCTACCGTTGGTTCAAATAAAGTGAAAAACAATCAAACTGACGAAATTATAATATCGGATAAAAGTTCGGACAGTTGTACCAAAACTGTTGATAATGATGTAATCAAAGAACTAACTAGTGTGCAAGACGTTATTACGCCTTCAAATACTAATGTGAATAAAGTGGAAGTACCTGTTCCAACTAGTTCGTGCAGTGATACTGTACAGGTCCAGGATGAGAAAGATTCGCTGGCGAATAAGAATGATACGTCTGAGAAAAAGGTAGTAAAAAAGTACGCTAAATTAAAGACAATAAAAACAAACATTTCAAAACCAAACAGTGCAAACATCATCGAATGCATGTCTAATTCAATAGACTTGAGTGTGAGGACCTCTGATCTCATAAGAATCTCTCCGGAATCAAGTCGACATATTTTGCAGTTACCACATATGATAGATTTAGAAACACCAAGAAAAATTGAAAATTCTTTTGGACTGCCTCCTACTCCTAGAGTTCTCAGTCCGAGTAATAACGTGATAACACCTTTTGTAAAGGTCAGTGAAGATTCTAGTAAAGTTCGTAGCTTTGTCACTACACCAGAATTCCCACCTACACCGTGCGTCACTCTTACACCAAAGTTAGCTGGTGAGAATACAGAGGATGCCATTAGAAAGGGAGAATATAATACCTGTTCACCGTATTATCATCCAAGTTCTGAACAGCCCACTGGCCTTAATAAGATATTAGGTTGCCAAAGTACTCATACACAGAATAAATTACAGCAACCTGAAGTCAGTATTATACCAGTTGATGCGGAAGGTTGTAGGACTAATATTAATATGGATGTTGTTAGTGGCTTTCCGGTAAACATATCCAGTAGTAAGTTAGAGATAACTCAATTTGAAGTAATCAAAGAAAATCTTCCCAAAGAAGAAGCTGTGAAGGAATTAAAAATTTCAGCCACATCTAAGGACATTACTGATAAATCAAAAAACAATCTTCCGACTGCTTCTAATATGACTACAAATGACTGTATTACAAAAGAGGAAATTAAAGCTGTAAATATTAGTCAAATAAATATTAGATGTGACAGTTCATCCAAAAGTGATCATGAATCATCCGATAGTGATTCTAGTTCTTCGTCCAATTCAACTTCATCATCATCATCAAGTTCCTCTTCAGGCTCAGGTACGACAAACCCATCCCCTCTGCTGTCAGTAATAAAAAATAAAGAGATACTTGGGAAAATTTATACTGACACCAGTAATGATTCTGGACACAAAGCAGTACCAGAAATAATTAACGTTGGAAATACAGCAGATGATACTCCAGTCATAGAGAAGACAGATAAATCACAAGAGGAGGTTGTAAAGAAATTAGAAGAAATGTCAGTTCCCAGTACAAATCAGAAGAACAATGATAACGTGTTATCCTTGACAAATTTAATAGTAGGAGCCGAAGAATCCCCTGCTAAGGTTTTTCCTGTCGTAAAATCAGATGATGTCATTAGAAATACATCTATGGAAACACCTGCTAAAGATGAGGCATTATTATCCGAGGCTGATATTTCTGAAACACCCAGTAGCTCAAAAGCTGGCATGGAAACTCTGACTAATTTGAGCAGTAAGATTTCCGCTTTGATTTCTGCTCAGGATCCAAAAGCGACAAAGGCAGATAGTCCACTCAATCAAACTCTTTCAATTACCAATCAAACCACAGCGAAACCAAAAATAATTGACGTACAGTGTCTAGTACCGGCTGTCTCTGTTACACGTGGAATACCCGAAGCTTTATCTTTCACAAAAGAGCGTGAACCTCAAGTATCACATTCGTCTCATTCAAGTTCACAATCTAGCGCACAACCGGATTGTAAATTAGGATTAGAATTGGAAAAGAAACGACTTCGTATCATTTCAAAATTAAAGACAAAGCCTCAGCTTCCTGTAGTACCCAAGGGGATCAGAGCTAAGCGAGTTCCGGCTGCAAAAACAGAAGAACCTGTAAACGTTAAAGTAAATACTAAAACCGATGAAGATCAGTCTAAAAATAATGTGATAAAGAGAAGAAAATCTCAGTCTAAACCGCATGTAAATATTTTGCAAAAAAACTTGGACACTGCTGAGGTACCCAAAGATCATTCGATTGCAGAAAATACTAGAACAATTTTACGACTAACAACAATCAAAGAAGCGACAGGAGTTGAAGAAGAATCTAAAAAAGAAAAGCATGAATCATCTCGCGCATCTTCTAATGTAAGAGGTCAATCACGCAGTGAAGCACAAACGTGTCCGAATGCAAATATAAATAAAAGAAAGAATTCCACAGACTTGACAAAATCAAAAAGTAAAACGGTTAAAAACGAAAAGAAAAAGGACAACAAGCCAAAGGAATCTACCGTCAAGAATTCTAAAGGAAGTGAGCAAACTTGTGATAACATTATTGTAGATAATGTTTTAGAAAATAAAATTGAAAAAGTTCATAGTAGCAACGAGGAAAAAATATTGAATTCAAAGGAGCAAATTAATTCAAACGAAAATACAAAACGCACATTGAAATCCAAAGTGGATCAAATCAAGAGAGACCTCTTTAGTGATGACGAGAATAATGACCAAAGGACAACCCGTTCTAGAACACGTCAAATTTCAGATGCTCAAAAAAGCGACTGCGGTGGACCTAATACAGAATCTTCCAGTAGCGCAATTAAAATCGCCAATGAAAAAAATGGTCCAGTTTCTTCTAAAGAAGATTTATCTTGTGTATTGGAGTGTTTACAATTGGTACCAGCGAACAAGCACACAACTGTAGAACCTGATGGAATAGGTAGTCTGAATGCAACCATATCCAACACTGTAGAGTACCGATTCGTCCATGACGATTCTGTACCTGTAAAGAAACGAAGACGAAAGTTCAGGAGTTCTGAACTCAGATTCCAGGTGAAGGTTGATTCTACAGATGAAAAAGACAAAGAACGTGGTAAAATGATGACTGCGACACCGTACGAAGAAATATTTAATATTTCTCCAAAGTCAAAGAGAAAAGTCGTTAACAAACGACCTGCTCTTAAAAGTATTAAATGTACAAAGCTTCAATTGTCAACGTTACAAAACAGCTCATCTTCAGTCTTCAAAGGCAGCGAAATAAAACCTTTAGCCACATCATCTCCTATGTCAGAACCTTCAACATCCGGTACCACAAAGATACATGGAAAAAATCCATTGTCATCTGGTAGAAAATCCGTTTCCAAGTCGCCTGATGGAAAAAGGAAGCAGACAGTCGATAATGCTCAAGATCCTCCCAAAGGTAAGACAATATAATTATACACGTTTTATCAACACTTAATTATTTGAAAACTCATATGGAAATTATTTTAGACGATAGAAAAAAGAGAAAAGCATCCGAATCAAGAGAGAGTGAACAGGTTCGTACGAATATGTATAATAATGTTTTTTTAAATTACACTTTCTCATAGCAGACTTAATTCATAGGTTGAGAAAAAAGCACGAGCAACAGATCCACAAGTTTTATTGAGCATGTTGAATGTGGACGAGTTCCTGACATCTGTTCATGGACCCACATGAGGATTATAAACGTTAGATTTCAAATGGGAGATCCTTTTCTGATTGTATCATGTATATATTGTTATCTGCTAGCCAATGGTGCTACACATTGTTATTTATTTATAGGTGTGCTTCATACCATCGGATTTTCTAAAAGTACTAATACAGAACATTAAATGACTCTACTATGACTGTAAGATCTTATAGTTTCCTATATGGAACGTTTTGTTCAAACTTCATTCTTATTAAAAGTTTGTTGCTTTTTTTTAAATACTATCTATGTAATACCAATATCTTTATGAATGGATATGTTTTTTGTTCCTACGATTAAAAGTAGCGTGTCATTAAAATATGTTACAAAAGCAACATATATCCAAGATACATTAGTCATTGTATTATCACATCACAGAATCTCGATTACTTAATTTCACTACATGTTCCACTTCAACTGACATTTTTTTTAGAAATTTATGATACTGATCTATGAATCCCATTTTGATTTTATTATTTGTTCTTTGACTGTGGGCATTAAACAAAAAATATTTTAGAAACGTTTACTTAACGATGATAATTATTTTTTATTACAACAGAGACATGCGCTTCTCCATTTATATTCATTTTCATGATTATATCGCCCTGAAATTTTATAATTGCCCATGGATTTTCTTTGTAAAGTTGCAGATTATAAAATGTATCTGAATTCGCTACGAGTAAAATATTTTAATACATTATCACTTGCAATGGAAGTAACATATGTAATACTCTTTATATAATATATAAAAAGTGTTGCACATTACTTGGGTGAGAAATAGTTGTTATGTTTCTATATTATTAAGTGAAATTTCTTGAAAAAGTAGTTGTTAAGCTGTGGATAAGAGTAAAACTACAGTATTTTATTTTATAAATATATGATCAGGCACTAATGTTAATATTTTTAACACAAAAAATAAACAAATAAAATAATACTTCACGGATTAATAAGAATTATTCATTGACCCTATGTGGATATTCTGTATCCACAGAAGTGCAGTCTGTGCAGATAAACAGAAGTGTATGCACGACTGCAGTCTGCCATACCGATATTAAATAAAGTTAATGCATTTGTTGTACAGATATATATCATAACCAATTTACTTTAATTATGAACATAATAGAAACACAATACAAAACATTTTAATATAGGAAAAGAGTGTGAAATCTGTCAAAGTGACAATGGAACTTTGTTGAACTATTAAATTAACACTTGGACTTAGCAACACGGTCAATTTCTTCAACGAGGGACACAAATTTTCTCCATTGGACCATATTGAGTGCTATACCTGAAAGAAGTAAATATATAATTAATGTTTTTACTGATGAATCATGTTTTTTAAAATCTTAAATAAATTACAGCTATAACAACAAGATACCTTTCTTTCCTGGTTTCATGTCTCCACTTTTATCGAGATACATCTCTCTGATGTCAACATACATATTCCCCTTAAATTCACGCACAGTCACTCGTCGATTGTTTCCTAATTCCCAAACTGAATCTTCATCTTCATCTGGTTCGTGCTTTGCCTTTTTGCTTGGTGCAGGCTTTTCTCTTTTTTCTGACGCAGGCTTTTCTCTTTTTTCTGGCGCTTGCCTCTTGTTGTTTTTCTTAGAAGTTTCTTGCTTTACTTCCTAAATTAAATGGATACATACTTTTATTCATAGAATTGACTTAAACATTAATTGTGAATAAATTTTGAATTAAACACAGATCACAATACAAGGATAAATTATTACCTCGTCAGTATCGTAACTGGATGATGAACTTGAGACATATGCCCTTGATTTCGGCATGATAAGTTTTCAGTCAGATTTATTTAATCTAGAAAGTATACACAATGTCTTCAATTTTACATGTACTATAAATGCATCAATATCTCAACGTATATTTTAATCTAAATTCTAAGAATAATGCCCAAGAACATAAGGCATCGAAAATCTCATTTAACCTCAAATAATTTTTGAAATCTGCTCCCGAGTCAGTATGCAAACATATTATCACAAACCATTCATAGATAAATTTTCATAATTCTAAATATCACGTAAATTACTTATTTAATAATTATGTATCTAAAATCCTCAAGCATAGGTACCTAAGCGACAAAAAAAGATGTCGATGTGGTTCAATTTTTGCCGGAGTGAATGAATTAAATTTTTCTCCATATAAAAATTAATTAATTTCCTATTCTAATTTATTAAATATAAATAATGTATACATACCCTCAAAATAATAATATATACTAAGTTTTAGATCAGGAGGACTGAATTAACTCACGATATACAATCTATTCTGTATCACGCTTAAACTGCCAGCAGTTTTCGCATCAAACTAAGAAATCCAATGGTGCACATACAACGTATCTACACGCAAACGGCGGGAAGCTACAAAACATTTTCACAAAATCATTATATTCTAACGTAGAAAGATAATGAATTTCTTAAATGTACCAAAGAATTTATTACACTTTTATTTCCATTCCTTAAGTACACAGTCATTTGAAGAAGAGGCTTCATGTTCAACGGTAATTACACCAGCTGCCTAATGGCACCAATAACCTCTTTTTATTTTTACAAAAATCGAAATATTCTTCCAAATTACTTCTGAAGTATAATCTGCAACATTATCAACAATATGTAAATATGAGACATAGGTCCTCGAGAATATTTTCAGCGCGGTACATAACATATTTATCCGTATATAATATAGTATGTCATATATCGGTCATGTGATTTTCATTAAAGTTCGTAGCAATGTACGATAAATATACAGTGAATAAAAGCACGCGAGTTCACATATAACGCGCCTTCGATAAAAACTGACAATGAATGGCCCAAAGAAAAATTTGCTGCATCATTCATATCCTAATAATGTATTTACATGAAGCTGAAAGAAGAAAATTAAAATATTCTCTATCCATACACAATTACACTCATATATCCGTATCCTCGCGCGTTGCAGATTATCCGGCAGGCTCTTTATATCCAAGAACAATTCCAAACGAAGAATCGCCGGAGAAACAACATTTATCAACAAGAAATGGCAACTCTTCAGGCCATTAATCAAGCTAAAAGATGTTTCAGAATTCTTAATCGCTGTCATCTGTGTTTCGCGGCGCGCGAGTCAGAGGTCGACGGCTTTCTTCGTCCGATCCATAAATCACATCTTCGTCCGAGTCGTTTATCATCGAAAATGCAGGATTGTCCTTCGTTATCGAGGAATCTACATAAGAATCAACAATGTAACGTTATATTCCTAAAGAAGGAATGAAAGCATGACACTTACGCTGACCGTAAACTTGCTCGAGCGCTGGCGCATACACGTAAGCCATCGTGTACAGATAAAAATTAAGTAATCCATAGAGAGCCATGAATTGAGCTGAGGTACGATAATACGTAGATAAACGTGAAGCAAAACTATCCTCCAAGACACCTGCGCCAAATTGACGTGCAGTCACCAGAGTGCAGACTCCTGCTACTATTCCAGCCAGTAATGTAAGGAATCGCAGTCGTAGATCTATTAAAAAAAAAAAAGAAAATAATAACATTAAGAAAAGTGCATCAAAATTAATAATCATAATAATAAGCACAATGAACATAAATTACCAAAATATGGCATTGAACGTAGTTCACTATAGGCTCTCAGTATAAGTAGAAGAAGATAAGCGATGTAAATCCCACCGACCGTAAAGAAAAACACTTTGAAACCCTAAAAATGAAAGTACATTATTCTTATAATTAATAGTATTATCAAATACAGTTGTGTCGTGGATCAGGTAAATAATTGGAAACGTGATAGCACTAGAATCTTTCAAGAACTGAGATCATCGACACATCAGCTGCTGTCAGCCACTAACTGTGGTCGGTGCACTTTTTTTAATCGATCGAGTTTCGATTTCTGTTCAACTTTCGATGCGGCGGCAAATATAGATTTGTAAAGATAAACCGGTCGCGACACACAAGATACGCTGTTATTCTAAGCTCGTTTGTTTTTAGCTAGTTCATTGCGGTGAGTTAGGCATATACAAGTCGAGCTCCAAGTGCAATGGACAGCACAGTGAAGTCTAAGGTCGTGTTCGTTGTAACGACTGCGAAAATCTTCATGTGGCAAGATATTCACCAAGAAAACTCTCATCGAAGAGGACTTCCGCGTAGTAATCTTCATCGAGTATCCAAGCATGGATTATATTGGTGAGTATAAGAATTTGTCTAAATTAATTAAAATCAAAAATTAATGCATCTATAATTTTTAGCTATTGCAATCATACTATTGGAATTGATGCTGGAAGCCTCAGGGCTATTTTCAAGTGTCGATTGTCCACCTGAATTACGACGAGAAATAGCAACTCTAGGAGATTCACAATCGCTGCACTTAGACTGCACTATGCAGTTATTATGCAAAAATCCTTATCAGGATGATTCACCGTGTCCATTAGGATATTTCTACGACGATTCTGCTAGTTATGACTGCATACCTGAGAACGAGACAACGTGTGAGGTCAAGTTTAAGGTCACTGTTGTACAGAATTTCAATATAGATCAGGATGAAGTCGGTCCATGTGCATTATCCCAGGATCCTGGGTACCCTGCACTTTTATCTCATCCTGACAACTGCAGTATGGTAATTTTAAATGATCCTGTATATTTAACTGATGTTTGGATCATTTTTATACTCTCGTATGAATTTCATTTCTAGTTTTATAAGTGTGACTGGGGATCAGCTATACTGTTCGAATGTCCAGAAGAACTGCACTTCAATTCTGAACTTCAGGTGTGCGACTGGCCCTGGCAGGCACGATGTGATTCATCCTGGACAAGATGTCCCAGGCCTCAACCAAGATGCCCAGCCCATCATACACGTCCAATTTATTTACCTCATCCATATTTATGTGATCATTTCTATCAGTGCAATTGGGGAAATCCGCTTTTGCAGACCTGTCCTGCAGGCCTTCACTTTAATCCTCGACTGAACGTCTGCGATTGGCCTTATAATTCAAAATGTAAAGTATGTTAATTTTTAATATACGCACGTAATAGTTTGATGTGTCCAGAACATAATTATATGTTGGATCTTCAAGTTCTGTGCACCGGAGCCATGTTGCTAGTGTTAATGCTGCACCCCATAATAAACCCACTACCAATAATTTAGGTAGATAAAATGTTACTAGACGTCTCTCATTCTAGATGATAAAATATAAATTATTAATATTGTAAACAATACATCATTATTGAAATATTAATATCTACCTGGCGAAGACCGTGATAGACACAAAGCCAGAACATAAGAATTCCACAAAGAAACGTAGTCTGTAAGACAGCATCCAGCATCCCAGGCATCCAGGAATTTACGAGGAATGTCATAGGAAACAGTGGATCTAATAAATGGTATAACATAGTATTCATTATTCATTAGCAATTAACAATTTCATATTTACTTACTGTTATATAGGATCAGTAATGGCAGAAGAATTGACAGCCATTTCTGTTCTATGGACCAGTCGTGTATCGGATACTTTCTTAAGGAATGACCAAACCAGCACTGAGGATAGAAAATAATGAAGAATTATAAATAATTATAAGAATTATATTTTTAGTTTAATTAATTAAATCTTATTACCGTCACTATAAACGTAGCCAGTAGAAATATCAGTCTAAACCAGATTTCTATTTGCGTAAATGCCGGGTTGTAATTCTTAAACTGTGAACAGAGAGTGAAAATAATTTAATTAAAAAATCATCGCATCTTATGAAAATTATGCGTTATCGTGTCACATAGTGCTTACTGACGTAGAACGTAAGATCTCGTATGTTGTATCGTTGATGAAAACTCTCAAGACCGTAAAAACGCACGGTAATGATGTAGTATGTAAAATCCAAGAATCCAAGATGGACCACAACGAACTCTTCACATGTTTGTCTCTCACACTTGAGATGCCTCGTTCTGAAATCCGTAAAATTTTTTCATTCATCTTTAAATTCTATTGAGAAAGATTCAATTGTTTAAAAAAAAGTTTTTTATTGTCTTTCTTACCTATTATGTCCAGCTTCTGGAGCCAGAACTGATACAGGCTTATGATCTGGAGTGATACCATCAATGGAAACGCTTACTTGGAAACTCTTATCGTACTTCTCATCTGTAAATTATAATTATCCAGTCTCATTAATTACATCTCTCAATGAAATATTTGTTAAATACATACATATATGTATGCAGCTTCTTTATCAGTGGTTATAGCAAAGGATTTTCGAGTCCATTTTATCGTCAAACCATAATATTTTTCTGGATTATCACTTTTTCAGGAACAAGTATTACTATGGTTTCTCTACTAATAAGATACTTTTGAATTGGGGTATTAAAATTAGTACCGTCGTTATTTGATGTGGAGAGTTTAGCAATGACCCACAATTGTTGACTATATGTTGATAGTGCTGGAGTTTTCATGATGAAAGGACCTGTAGCCATTTCACTTCCATTCAAATGTGCTTTTTGTTCAGTGGTGGTAGTGATAGGAGGACCTGTTGATATAAATTATTTTTTCAATGGTTATAAGCATATAATTTTGTTTTATTAATAATATATTTATTACCTGCGAGACCTATAAATACGGCCAATCCAAAACAGGCGAAGAATCCCATGAAAACCATGACGAATTCCCTTTTGTGCATTGAATAAAGTCGCATCTGAACAGATCTATGAAAAAAAAAATACGATTGAAATTAACAATTCTTATTTTATAAAGAAATTTGCTTCTATACCTTTCGCAACGATCGTGATGATAAGCTGGAGCGATGTATTTATTAAATTCACTAAATAGGTCACTGAATTGGGACAGAGCATTTCTGACCTTGAGATTCCATCCAGCTGATGGAAGATGATAAGAATATCCTAAACTTGGACCCTCCATTTTTGATTTTCTCATCACTTACGTTTTCCGTGTTTCTAAAAATTATATATTATTTTAAATCACTTTCACTTTTCTTGAGATGGATGAATGAATTTGTACAAATTTAAACTGTATGCAAAAGAGGATCAAGCCAACTGCAGAAGTCATTAATGTTTTATACGATAGAAATGGTTAAGTCGTTCATTTTCTCTGGTAAATTGTTTATGGAAAAAATTGTAACGATTTAGATTAATTGTCTTGTATTGTTCAGTAAATTTCTCCTTCTGCAAAGGGGCGACAGATATTAAAAATGAATAAAATAAACGTAACCATCATTATCCACATTATTTGTTGACGCTTACACGATTAATACGGATACGATCCAATTGCACAAGTCCAATTTATGTCTCGTTCGCTTCGTCTAATATTATCGGGGTACTTCGAAGGGCCTAATTTACGTGAAAGATATATATTTCTCTGGATAATTTTCGTGGATGATCATGACGATAAACATTAGGAATATGTGACGAACCACGAGGTCGTTGAATTTCGAAAACACTGACTGTATACGATAATGCGTTATAGAGAAATGAAAATGAAATGTACAACGACGCAGACGGCGAATGAGGCTGGCGTCGCGACGCCCATTATTGATCCGTGCTTCCAAGCTTCTCTTCTGATATTATTGCAGACCTGCTAGCCGACACATATTAAATTTAATGTTGATTAAGATCTACATTTCGTTAAGTAATAACTAAAATAAGAAATATAGCATAATTCACTCTATTTAAATGTATAATTCAAAACAGTTAATAGCGCTAAATGTCCTGACGCTTGGGAACTCGTTATATTTCAGATATGATGACATTTTATATAATCAAATAATCTAGATATTAACAAACTAAAAATTATTAAAGAATAATACCATTATTTTTAATGTAACTTTTGAAATTCAAACTAGTCTTCCCCAAGACTTTTCTTATCGAGCTTTTTTGTTATCATATGTATTTCTTTCTTTTATGCTCTACTGGTACAATATCTACCGAGATCAATGAAGAAACCTATTTATCCTAACGAGTAACCAGTTTCATATAATTATCGTTAGAGTAGATAAAGATATCTTTGGTATAAACTGAAATCGGTTTATAAGCATACTTGCAATTAGCTGCTAATATTACTGCATGCCAAACGTGCATGCAGTGCGGTTGGTAGCATAGTTAAAAAATATATATATTTATATATTGGTTCTAGCAGCTTCTGTTAATTGTCTTGCAGCATTTTGCAGAAGTGGTATACTTATTGTATACGTGCTGTGATCCACGAAATAAAATTGTCGAACAGATTTTCATCTGTACCGTTGGTAGCCCACGTTGCCTCTCGCTTCGATAGGCGCGTACACGCTCGCCCTTTGCAATATTCGCGGTTAATGATCAGCGAGCTAGGAGCTCGGTGAAACGAAAAAAATGATTGATTTACGCGACAAGAACACGCAAAGTGCGTCGAACATGTATAATAGACGAAACGACAATATGAACGTACCTGGTGAGTCATGATTTGTTTCAATTTCCATTTCTACTCTTAAATGTCTTTGAGAAAATTGATTCCAACCTCTTGATACTTTGGAAGCACATTACATTGCAGAAGAAATTATTTCAGAGTGGTACAAGGACACGTGCAGTTATGTAATTGTGTTGGTATATGAGAATTTTTAATCAATTTTTGGAGCTATTGATGTATTTTGATACTTCTGACTCTTCCTATTTTGTATGGTATCGAACAGCGATGGAGCACTTTTTGGAAGTAATCTTGTTCTATACTGATTTTGTTTAATATATGCAGGTTTATTACTTTCTGCTATGTGTATATTCTATGGAGTAATGCTTTCCCTTTAGGAAAAACAAAAACTATCGTGGAGCTAACATGTGAGCATCATATGGAAAGTAACAACAGGGGACCGTACCAATTACTCTGACATAAAAATGACTTAGAAATTAATGTATTTCCAAGGATTTCCTCTATTATTGTATACCATTTGTTCAGTTTGGTTTTTATTAGATCTGTAATTAGTTTGTCAAACCATTGCTGCTCATGGCTTCTATTATTAATGATATTAATGGCGAGATATTTGGTGGCAGCAAGAAAACATCAAGTTCTGTTTTGGAAGATAATGTTTATCCACAATGTACATTGACACTTGGCTTTTTCAATAACTTTGTATAGTATCAAGCTCTTTATGTATTATGTAATTTACTTTTAACAGTTACATCACAACCTGGACTTGCTCCTCTTAGTCCATACTTGAACTTCGATCCATCATACCTACCTGCCACTCAGCCAGAGTTTATATTTCCTGAAGGAGCTGTAAAGCAACGAGGGAGATTTGAATTGGCTTTCAGCCAAATTGGTGCTGCATGTATAATAGGTGCAGGAGTTGGAGGTGCCAATGGTTTTTACAAAGGCTTAAAGGCGACAACCCTTGCGGGTCAAACAGGAAAATTAAGACGGACACAGTAAGAAAAGTTGTATTTTATTCCTTTGTATGGTTCAGCATTGGACTAATAAAGCAAAATTTATACTATATTTAAAACATATTTATTATTTGCAGATTAATTAATCATGTTATGAAACATGGTTCATCACTGGCAAACACACTGGGAGTAGTCTCTGTGATGTACAGTGGGTTTGGTGTACTTTTATCTTGGGTCAGGGGTACAGATGATTCCTTGAATACTTTAGCAGCAGCCTCTGCGACCGGAATGCTCTTCAAATCCACAGGTATCGCCATTTATCATTCCGTTGACGTATGTTGATATATTTTTGAATAAGTTTTTATAACGAAGCCACTCTTTTCACAGCTGGACTGCGTAAATGTGCATTAGGAGGTGGCGTTGGTCTAGGAATCGCATCACTCTACTGCCTATGGAATAGCCGAGAATCTTTTTCCCAATTTAGACATCACAGCATGAATCCGGCGTAAGACTGTGTGTGTACCAGCAGCACCTTTAGCCAAACCTCATCTGTTGTGAACGTTCCCACTTTGATTATTAAAGCAGCTACTGCGTTTTTCCTTAGTACAAGCAACGCGTATTGTTGAATTTTAATAATAAAAAAGTAAAGATATTTTGACCTCAGTCAGATATGTCAATGACTGTCTCGTAGAATATTTCAATGTACTACTATGAATGGATTATTTAATAGCAACATTGGAGAAAATATTAATGGTTCAGAGTTCTCAATTCTGTTTTTGGAACGGAAGCTTCCAAAACTCTTGTGCACTTTCTTTATTATTTGTTTCAACAAGAAAGTATAAAGCTGCAGATTGATTCGATATAAAATAATAAGAGAACTCAATTTAAATATTAAAATCATTAAATATGATAGTAAAAGAAGCTTTCGCAGTACTAATTAGTGCAATGTAAATTTGTTAAAGTATTAAATAGTATCGTACATAAAAAAGTCCTAGCGTAGTATATACTTGATGCTACATATTTAATCTGGATTAATCAGAATTAGAGTGGGAACGTCGAAGCAGTACAATTCCTAAGTCACTAGGAGCCAATTTCTACTAAAGAAAATTCTAATAATTACATTAGCCAATATATGCAAATTATTATAAAGATATTTTTTCCTCGTTATATTTTCCTGTCTATTAATGTTGCGAATCAACATAAAAAAGGCCATAGAGCGATAGTAAAACAACAACACAAACAATACTTCGCGATACAAATTCATTCTCTGCTTTATTTATATCATCCTTGCTGTTAAAATTAAACATGTCTTTTATTTGTAACAAATCATACTCTCTTGAACCTATACATACATGAAAATCATACGCATTTCATAATCGATAACTTTTATTCAACTTGAATTAATATAACCAATCGAGTGACTATCCAAAAGTCATATATCTTTCTCTAACAAATTAAAATACGCCCATGGTTTAAGCTGTGCTTTGTACATGTACATGCATTGATCTCAGAACTAAAAACTAATGCAGTACCATTCAGACAACTGTCGGGTATGAATACACATTATTAATATATTGTTTAAATTATTCCCTGTTACAATATCACCTTAAATACAAGTAACCTGTAAATAACGAGGTTCTAGTAAATGGCGCCGTAGCTGGAGGTATATGTCGACAATCCAAGTATCCATAGCGGAACTACAACTGCCCCAGATGTTCACGAATGATCACTAGTGTCATAATATACTGCATACTTTTTAGACATCATTTGAAAAGGAAAAGATATGTAATTAGTATAAAAGAATAAAAAGACTTTTCCATGTAAAAATTGGCTCCTACTTTATACTTCCTAATGGTATTCATATACGATACATTTTACATAGAACTCATGGATTTAATTCGTGCCCCTTGCGCGTTTACATACATAGTAAAAATTTTATTTTAAAGGATCTTGAAACACCTTCTATTCTCTTGCAGATCAAAATGACCATTTGGCATCCCCAACTACTTAGAGACTAGCAACGAATTTTCCCTGCCTTGTAAATAGAAAATTTCATCGTGGATTGCAAGACGAACAATTTTTAGAATTATGCAATACCATGTAACTCAAATAAAGAAGTGTAAATATACCATGCACTATCCATTAAACGCTGCATGTTATTTAGTTATATTTCGACTAGCTGATAGATCACAGGTCTATAATAGAAATTGGCATTTTTAAAGATTCTTATATGGAGGTGTATGATATATATTTGCAACCATCGATGAGGCACCGTTAGGAAAAGTAGTTTAATCTTATCAAAGTCTATCTGGTTGCCAGCGTGTTCTTGATATCAGTTGATTGTGAGACCAGCTTTTCATACGGAAGTTTGATTTTTCTCAAGCTCCTGGAGTGAGTCTGTTTTTACAATTAAAATTAACTTCCGACATTAAATTGAGTTCAATAATATTTAACCGGTCTTCAAACTGTAGTAATTCAATATAAGATTCCACGTACAATTTCTATTGTGATATAAATCAATGAAGAATCAATACCAGTCGGTACGTGATGTTTAAAATAAGTTTATTAGTCTCCTTCACCTATATACGTAGTTAGATTTTTAATTGTGAACTATATCAGCGTCTAATCCACTTGTTGTTCACGTTACAGATCTAACAGTTGTCAATTATGACATATGGTTTCTAATTTTTTTTTTTCTATGATACTTAAGTGCGTGGTCAGAGGTAACTATTGCTTAAATTACTACACAATATAGCGTTTTAACATATAGTGAGCAAGTGAAGTTTGTACGCATGCACTTAAGTGTGCCGCAGAAAATAAATATTTGAACGTTATCTGAAATCTGGGCGTATATAATCTTCAGAGCTGGCAAGACCATTATCGCAACACTTTCAATCGCTTAAAAAAATTTGAGAGGTGCAAGATTCCTGAGAAATGTGTCATGCGAATGTCAAATTTCATAAAGCATTAGAAGTATACTAGATGCTAATTTATTCAGTAGATTTTTGGTAAAGAATTCGCGTACTCAACGTAACTCGTGATTTAATTAATAAATTGTAATCAGGTCGTTTATGGTAATATTAATGCGACAAGGTGTCTCTGCAGACTTTGGATATTGACAAGTGAATATCAAGATGAGAAATACTAATTAGAAAATATTTAAGAAAATGGAAAAGTCGAATGAGTATACTGTGATGTACTTCGAAAATATTTATATCCTTTACACGTCGGTTCCTTCAGAGTAAGCAAGTCAGTTGCTATGCAATCTTCGCAACTAACGGATCTGCTTAAACTCAACCTTCCATCGAATTGAACAGTGCCTATTTATACTTCAGTGTTTCTTGATTTTTAAATAAATCTTACGACGTCAAGGAATCAGAATACTTGACTTTGTATATAAAAATTAATTTTAATTAACCATTAGTGAAGTTATTGATTAAGTTTTTCAAAAATCTGACAGCTGCCTGAATGTTTAACAACAATTTACGATATCAACTTCTACGTTATGGAAATAAAAAAATATCTAAAAGAATTGATCCCCATAGGTATGTTTCTGTTCACGACTTAAAATCATAGGACTTCTCTACTGTGAATTCCAATGAATATTGAAAATGTTAAAAATTCTGTCCGTACATGATTTAAAAACTTTTACACGAAGGATACCTCAGGCAAGGTTTAGCACTGCCATACATTTACATGACGGGCTGTATATTTGTATAATGAAATTAATTTGTTTCACGGGATTCCACGTGTATCGTCATACACCGAATTAGATACTGCGCTCTTAAAAGCTTTATCGATTCAGCTCCATTCATTTCCAAAGTAAATTTCAGTTGAGAATGAGCATTGTTCTTCTTCCAGGAAATACACCAACTCCAGATAACCTGAATAAATACAAAAAAAAATGTTTCATAGAATCCCCAAACTCAGAGTCTATAGATTTATTAGTTTGGGTTCATAAAACTCTGTAAGATTCTATAACTCGACTATCAATATAAAAAAATGAATTCCGCACAAGCTGAAAACATCCTGGCTACACTTTACTCAAGTTCTGCGGCCTTATGTATCATCTCCATAATATCCTTGGTGGTGCCATGGCAACATTGGGATAGGACGTTCAACAGTTGCATAAATCTTGACTGCGGATGTGTCCTTTACGGTATAAACACATTTGGAAGTTTTATGGGCGGAGATGGAAAGGTCTGCCACTTTGCTACTTATGCCTTGGTACCATCATTACTGATTGGTGTCTGCCTTGGTGCATACCATGGCTACAGATCTTGCTTCACAAGAAGTATGGATGAGCCAAGAACGATATCACGTAGTCCCAGTTATTACAACAGGTAAAGAATACACTAGCATCATACAGCTTCTATGACTGTTAATCCAATGATTAAATAATTCCAGAAACAATCTGGAAGGCGAAGTCGTGGTTATTCGTCCCAAGCAAAGATCACCTTGCAAACAATGGATGCCTGTAGCCTGTCTTGCAGCTTTGATTTGCTGTCTGTCTCTTGCACATGCTGTGGTCATCACTGATGGTTATTACAAGACCTGCGAACAGTACAGGAGATACTTGGTTAATAAATTACGTTCTGGAGTTCTGGAAACTCAGGTATAATTTGAATTTTTTAACTACATTTCTCTTGGTCAAATAAAAATTAAAGCAAATTCATGATTACCTCTCGTACATTCAGGCAATTCACAATCGTCTCTCCTGTGGTGCTATTCTCGACTTTATGGACTATATTCATCCAGATACCAACAACTGGAGACGTGGTGATGAAATAAATACTGGTCTGGCACTGCAATTCTCCATTACAACTTCCTGGTTCAATCTCTTCGTCTGGGTAGGCATATTCGTCATCAGCACCATAATGGCAAGGCGGAGGAACAAGAGTCTCGGTGAAAAATTATGTTGCTGCTGCTGTTGACAATCAGACACATAAAAGAGATTAAATTTCGAATATAATTATCTTAAGAGACATACGTACCTGCATCAAGCATAATAATATTCTCTATTTTTTTTCAATAGTCGAAACGTACTACTCTGGTGTTGATCGAATCGATAGGAACTGTTTTGTAAACATGACATGCTTCTTTTTTCAATGAATTATTTTAATATCCAGCCGAGTTTTATCTGCTTATATTATAATAGAGTTTATTTTAGCTGTCTGTGTTTTATACATAGGGACATTAATGGTATTTTTTTTATGTACATCGTGTTACCTATTCACTCGAGGGAAAGTATGTCGCAAAACTTATTACAATTAAGTAATGCTCTCGAAAAAAATAAATTTATGGAAAATTCAGACATTCCAAGTTGACGCGTCGCTTAAGTTCTTATTTCGTTATATATATAATACATATGTATGTATATATAATATATATATTATTTCATCTCTATATGTAGCAATAATAATAATACATAATTATTACTAATCCTTACTACTTGCAATGACTTTCGAATTAAATTAATAACTATGTAAACACGATAACAACAAAATACAATTGTAACAACTGGTCTTTTATACATAAATAGTGTATGGACATTATCGGAAAACAGAAATGTAAGATCTAGAGTGTTCCTGTGATAAATTGTGTAACGTTTCGATACGGCCATGCGAACGTGAATACAATTGGCTCGCAACTAAATGCAAAAAGAAGAAAAAGAAACTTTCCCGTTTGATACACGTCATGTGTAAAAATTTCATGAAACCAGGTGTTACCCTATAAACGCTGGTTGAAGATTTACAGTGAAGAAGTGGAGGACTGTCCAAATCGCAAACATAATTGTTCAATTTTCACGCAGGCGACGAACGAAGATCGCCTCGCGCGACATAAAAGGAAAGAAATACTTTGTCGTTCGCATTGAAAATTGTACGAAATACTGTGAAATTTGGTTACGGGCAGTGAGAGAATTATATTGGTGGTATATATCACGAGCAACGAACAAAACGGAAAGTGAGCACCGAAGAAAAATGCCAAAGTAAAAGCAATAAATATGACTATAATTATGAAGAAGCGAAAACGAAAATAATAAAAAGAAAAAGAAAAGAGAAACACAAGAAGAGAGAAGAGTGAATCTAAAAACGGAAGGAATGTTACGAAACTTGTATAAAGGTCGAAAGGGTAATTTGATTAGAAAATTATTTGCCTCTAAAAAAGGAAAAATCATAAAGAAAAAAAAATTATTTCGAAAATCACCTTTCGACTGTTTTACACTGTCCGTTGTAAACGTAAATTATTTTAATATTTTTCTAGCACCGAGCGGTACTCTATACCGTAATATAAAAAAAAAATGATTACGTAGCAGAAGAAAGGATTGAAAATTCAATAATCATAACCTCATTACACTCTTTCTAAATTTATAGTAATACATCAGCAAGTATTTTGAGTTTTACCCACAATTTGCAAAAGCCTTTCAATGTTCTGCCATACGGTTTAAATAATTAATCAAAGGAATTAACAAGAGTTCCCTTGAATCGCGTCTGTAGGAACTGAAACTGAAGAAGCTTTCTCATTTTTGATGATTCATTGTAAACTTGTACGTTTTATACGTGCACACTTGTATATAGGTACAATTGACTTGTTTTGTCTGACAGTAGCATTACTATAGTTTATCTCTACGACACAACACATAATACAAGCCCGGAGACAATTTTTTTTGTTTTTAATAAAGGAAGGCACCTAATCATATACGTACTAGTTTATCTACAGTTACTATATATAAATATATACATACATATTAGCTTTTATGTATATAATATTTATATAATATATATATTTATATTTTGTTTAACCGTACGCTTGTTTATAATATTGTCTCATCTTTCTGCCTTTTGCTTTTCCGAATGCCGAATTACATACAACCTCTTCCAATAACTTATCGCCAAGTTAACTTATTAAAGATGAAGATCACCAGCTGTGATTTACTCGATCCGTACGTAATATATAAAAGCCAAATATAATAAATTCATGTAATCGGATATAATTTTAACGCCTCGATGTCTCAGTATTATATAGTGTCGCTGGGTCAAAGGTCAGGGTGCTTTGTCTGAATCCTCTCGTATCGTCATATTAATCAATCGTATGGCGGAATTGTAATCGTACGTAAATAATGGATTTTTGTTGGGATAAGAAATTTAAAAAATTTTCTAAACATCAACAGTGACTGTTGGTTGTTCAGTCTTATGTGATAAGGCAATTTTTAGAGCAGAGAATTAATAATAGTTCCAAAAAATTTTTTCATTATTTGCCTAATATGGAATTTTTTATTTTTTTTTTTCCATTTTTCTTTAAAGTGCCAAAGATAGTCAGTAAATAAACCATACGATGACGTCTGACAGAAGAATAAAGTCAATGCTACATACTGCGCCTTTATGAATTCTAAGACTATACGTACTTCATCTTTGTTCTGTACTTCTTTCCGATACACAACCAAATGCTGCTGCCGAGAAAAAAAAAATATGATACACTAACATTTCGGAGATGCTTATCTCGTAGGTCGCAACGATATATACAGTATATATACCTAAAAACGCACACGCGAATTCCACGTTCGCGAAATTCTAATATTCGCGAGTTACTTGTACGGTGTCATTGTAAATTGGTATATTTCGCTATTCGGTAATAGTCTTGTAGTGGATTCATATACTTTTTTTTTTATAACGCTAGTAGAAATCTAGGAATCTCAAAGTGTACAAATGTAGTGAAAACGCGTAGCAGCAAAAATAGATGCGTGTGCTCTGTTTGTTCTCCTTAAGTTTCCTCTGGTATTATTCCTTTTCGTTTTATTTTCTGTTTCTTTTTTTTTTCTGTTTTTTTCCCTTTTTTTTGGTATCAAGCTGCCAAGTTCAACAACCCGTTGTTTCTTTGAGGAAAAAAAGAAATAAAGAAAATACCGAGATCTCATAAAATTTTTCTCGTTGCTACGTTTCTGCGCTAGTTTATATTGGTTGATGCTATTGTTGCTTCTTTTTTTGTTACTTCTAGTTACGCAACAGTACAAACGTCCTAGCCTAATGCGAGACACGGCTCTAAGATAGTTATTGTGTATAATTGAATACTCTTCTTTTTTGTTAATATCTCACGCTCGTAAAAGAGTATTGTTTAATGCACCATTGTCATTTTTTTTTTTTTTTTCGTACGAATGTTGAATCTTATCTCATTTCTATATTTTTTTTGCTATCACTTATGCAACAATAACTTCGCGGACGCTCCAAGAAACGCTGACAATTCGCGATTCCGAGTGTTCAGATTTTCTACATTACAAAGCGTATTTCACGTGAAGAAAAGTTAGTTTGCTCTTGGACTACTGTTTTCGAAATGCGCAATAGATGCACCTGACGCGAATGAGGTCTCGAAACGATCACGAAGTGCACTTGGTTTCTAATTTGGAATAGCAAGAAGAATTATGAGGAAAATGGAAAATATAACAGTTATTCTCAGTCAGTTGAAATTAAAAGCTTTCTGGATACGCGTAGGAGCTGCAAGATATAGCCAATACATTTTAAACCAAGTACTCTTCCCAATACGACCCCTCTTTCACATAAAACAAGACTCGAATAATTCACAGTGAGTCCTATACTAAAAAGCCTCGTACTAGCTGTTTCCGTTATTCTGTCGTTCTCAGGTGAACGGATTGCTCCTCCTCTTCAAGGATCCAAAACGCTTCTCAGTTTCTCGTATCACTTCAAAAGGTGCCACTCTTGGACCGGGTTGTCTTTCCTCATTTTCATCACTGGGGAAGTCTTCGAAGCTCATATTACTGAACCCAGCTACGGCTGCAGCACTCTTTTTCCCTTTCGGTGTCTTTTTGGATGTTGAACTCTTCGACTTGTGGGATATCTTCACAGGCAAAACGTTTATAGCGTCTCCACGATTTTCATTTATAAGGTGGTACTTGGACTTGTCGGATTTCAACTTGTCCTTTTTGTGTTTAGGTGAATCGTCCGTGACTAGAGGCTCTGGTGACATTGGTGATATAATATCCGGTGAGATTTCTGGTCCTGATACATTGTTCATAGAGTGAACAATAATCCTTGCTGTATGACGTACAGGCTGAACCGTGTAGGTTGGTTGTATAATCGATGGGGCCTGGCCAGAGTACGAAGACTGTGCACTGGTTGAGAGTATGGTGCTCAGGGCGTGATCTACAAAAGTTGGTGACTGAGAGAGTGGTAATGATGTTGGTCGTTGTTGGCTTGTCATCGTCAGGGAGGCAAACTCTTCAAAGGGTATCGAACCGAAAAGATCCTTTGGCGATTCTGCGTTGAGGTTACTGGAGTTGACAGTGACTACACCGAACTTTGAATTCGAAGCCACAGTTGGTTGCGTTGCGTGGAAATCACTTGGGGGATGATAGGGTTGTGGTGTAATGTTTGTATAATCTGCATACAAAGGTGGTTGAGTCGTGGGCGTTGGTACAGATTGGGGAGTTTGTTCATTAGTAGTAGGATAGCTTGTCATACTATTGAAAGGATTTGTGAAGCCAGTGGAACTGAAGGGTGAAGAGCCAAAGAGGTCCTTGTCATTCTTCTCTGAATCATCCGGGGTCGGTTGTGCAGCAGTATCATTTGAAGCTCGACGAAGCGGAGGAACAGAGAAGTCCACATTTTCATAATTACTTGTAGAACTGTCTGTTATAGTTTGGAGTGGTCTTGATGGTGCTAAGTACCGGAATTTGGTTTGATTATCTAGGTCGACCAGAGATCCGGATACTATGGGCGAGCTGGATATCGGAGTGACTAAGTTAGAATTATGAGGTGAGTTTGTGATGCTCGACTGACCCACTGGTTTTGGTCCGTTGTCACGACTACTGCTGCTCTTTCTGGAACTGGTCGGCCTAGGGAACGGTGCCAAGGCAAATACGTCTTCCTCGACTTTCCATAAACCATTGTTAAGCGTCTTAGTATTTTCTATTTCATCAGAGGAGCTGCCGTTATTAAATAGTAATGGTTTCGAGCCGTACTGATGTCCAACGAATGGATCTCCATGCGACTGTTCCGGTTTAGATTCTGGATCCAGTTCGTCGTCCAGCAGAAGAGGTTTCTCGCCGTACTGATGTCCAACTACTGGATCAGCATCTATAGTGGGTAACGGCTGATTCCTGTGATGTTTCCTAGGTTTCCTGATTCGATGATCCTCCTCGTGAGTAGCAACGGATTCACACTCAGCATGATACGCCGAGCTTCCACAGGTTCTAACGCTCTCGGAGATGGTCTCATCTATTTTCTCTCTTTCGTCCTCATCATTATCCAGATTGCAATCTTCGTCATTCATGGCCTTCAAATCACTGGCTGATCCTATGGAGTCATCTGACTCGTATTCGACAGGTGCATTTCCTGGATCCTGAGCAGCCTCCTTCTTCCTCCTATTCAAGACACCCTTGACTCTTCTTCTCTTCTTCTTGATTCTCTCTTCAGTTCTCTGCGGAATCTCCTTGTCGCTGTCACTGGACACTTCGTCAGCATTGAATGCTAGCTTTTCATACTTGGAACGATCCTCCACAGGTGCCCTGACAAAAGGCGGTGACACAGGACTAGATTCAGCTAATAAAGATGCCTCGTCGTCTACAGCAGCAGGCTCTCCCTCAGGACTCCACTTGGTAACTGGTAACTTAGCTCTCCCTTCGACAGATTTACCTGGAAAACAAAAGTTCACAATAGGTTTTTAAATCGTGATAAACTCCCTTAATGGTAAAAGATATTCTGAAGCAAAAGAGACGATTCCAATTATCAGAATCATCTGATTAAACTAAAACGATTGTACTTACCTAAGATCTTGAATCAATCTATGAAAAACGTACGTTAAACAAATGCACAAATTATTCTACACTGTCATACACACATATATATATGAATATATATGTAATTAAATGCTGCACGCATATCGTCTTCCAGACCTTTCTCATATACCAAATCTAATTCTAGTTTCCAAGTTTCATATGACAAGTATCTATAAAGAACTAAAGAATAAAACAATGACTAATTATACAATAAGAGCAATGTCAAAGTCACGCTAAATCTTTCATGCAATTGAAAATATAGTGAATGCATGTATCAAGGTCATTCAGGTATTGACTTTTGATGCACTTTGACTAATTGACTCTCCAGCAAAGTCATCCAAGTACCGGAACAAGATGAAAAAGCTAATCAATTTTCAGAGCAAGTATTAATGCTGAACAAAGGAATACGACAAGACAGTGAATAAAATACAAACTAATTCTAAAAGATATAAGGAGTCTGATTAGGCCTGCTGCAGACAATGAGTTGTCAGTGTAGTGTGCGAAATGGCTTGATTGCTTTCCGAATAATATGAAACATCTCATAAAGGTCGCTCAATCACATAATTAATTAAAGACAAAATAATCTATATACAATTAATGTTAGTAGCACCACCACCTCGTCTGGAACAGTCCTAATCAGATTCTGGGGTTCGGGAGTATTTGAAAATAAAAATGTAGAGAAAAGAAGTAAAACGCAGTAATACTTTCGACTTCATCCAACGACAGAAAATTATGCGTGAGTATCGATAAATAATAAATAGTTTAACAGTAAAGTGTTGTCTCGACAAAAAAATATATACATAAAGAGTCTTGTAACGCTGAACTCTCATGGTCGGTCGATGTCAAAGAATTGCTACGTTTTTTCAGAAAGTGACTATTGGAAAGAAGAGTACGCAAAGTGCTAATGTACATGTTTATTGCTCCAACATGGTTTATTGTAATACAGCGAGAATAGCAATGTCCAAGATTATCAACCCCCTACGGTGCGTGAAGGATTTGACAAGGGAAGAAAAATATTTAAAAAGAGGGATCCGATGGGGAACAAATTCGGATGGTAACGCACGGCACGGTATTGCCGCATTTTGACAATTCAATTGGTCGCACAATGAAGAAAAATCTATTCCAACGTTACAATAAAGAGCAAATTCCGTCTTCCCCTTTTTTAAATTGTAATTATGAATACTCGACACACGTTAGACACCATAGGCGGGATGCAATGCAGGACAGAGACAATGAAATTGCACAAATTGTTAAATCCAATATGCTGTGAATTCTCATAGGAGCAGATTAAATTCAATTTTAGGCCTCCCAAACTCATTAGGGTGTTCCAGACAGTGGACAGACATAGATATATATAATAAGTATATATATTATATGTAATAAGTATGTTTCGGTAGCTTCCATGACTAATTACGAAGAAGCGGATTCGTAAGCTCGTACCGAGTTTTCTCGTATCTGCGGATTATTCCTTTTTCTTTCCCTCTTTGTACTTACTCACTGGGACGTTACCGAAGACATTCCGGAAAGATAACGCGAGTACAAGTTGTTTACAATCCTCTGGAATACTCCGAGGTATCGATAGAACAATAAATTAATATTGATTAATTGAACTGTCTCGTTTTCTTGTCCCAAAGGTCTTCGAATGACTCTTCGTAGTAATTAAATACATAAATCCATAAGTTCCAGTCAGTAATACTCGTGGTTAAAAGACATTTCCACATGAAAAAGACAAATATACATACAGAAAGCAGATACAAAATTTACATACTCTCCCAGATTTACCAAGTATGGTTCAAGAGGCTGAATCGTACAGTCTGTAGTTTCAAAAGTGGAAAAAAGCTCGTTTCACTTCTATTTCACTTCATGAATCACGAGGTGTACAATCTCCCCGTTTATAAAAGACACACCAATAATTTCAACATCGAAAAGCCAAACAAACGAATCTAACGACTCACGAATAATGAAAACTTCAAGAGAATCGTGAAAGTGACATACACAAAAATTCGAATTATTCTTTTTTCGCCAGTTACAGCTAATCGTTAGTAACTGGGACAGACATCCATTGAAATTATTTTCAGTTAATTACTGTGCAGATATCAAAGAAAAGAATTCAACTATTAATAACGAAACCAAACATTGTATGAAATAGGGATCTTAATCGTGCCGCCGTACACGTGAAATTTAGTTAAGCAAACGCATAATCAATAGTATCAATAAGTACAGGCATTGCCTAGCGATCACTATAGCCTTTTTGCCAGCAACATCGTAAGACGCGCAAATAGAAACGCGACAATCGCCTCGTTATATTAACACCATAGCGTTACGTTTTCCGTATCTTATTTTCTTCTTCGTCTATTCTTTTAACGCAATATAACTCCTTCGTATGTCTATATTTATATATGTATATCTATATTAATACGCATTGTGTACATATATATATATATATATAGAGAGAGAGACGATGTGAAAAGAAAGGGTCCACTTTGTTCGATCAGCATTACGAACTTCGGCAATGTTACGCGCGCGTCGTCAAAAATAAACGAACAATGTATATGCACGTTACAAAACTAGAGACTTTAATTCGCAACCGCATGCCGCTCGCAGGAGTTTACCTAAGATCTCATTCTTTCTTTTCTTTTCATCTCGAAAATAAAGTTATATATCACGGCCCTTCCTTCCCGTCGCCACGTTTACTATCTACTATACAATTGCCATTGTGATTCGAAGCACAAGGCTATATATATATATATATATATATATATTTATAATATGTATAGAGCAAAAATATCTTGCCCAAGCAATCTGTGACGTATTATAAGTAATAATACATTTTATATATTTATATATGTAACGTTCCTCACAGTTTCTTTTTCAGCCCCTTTTACCTCCTCACCACACCGCATGGTCCACCGTCACTTGCAATTGCAATTGTCAGCCCAGAAATTAAATCTCTTGTAGGAATTACTTAGTTGACGCAATTATCGGGTTCGCATTTGCAAGTACTGGCGACGGGGTGGTACGCATGGTTTTTAATATTGTATAGATTATAAATTTATATCACTTATTATGCGTTGACAATAGTTTGTTTTGTTTGCAAGCACAACGTTATATATGTATAGAGTAATTACAACAGTAATGATAACGTATTAGCTAGATATTGTATTGTAACACGAATCTCAGATTCGATGTATCGTTTCTTATATATTCTCATTATACTTTTCGTTTTTCTTCTTTTTTCTTTTTTTTTTTGTTTGTCATTTTATCGTCGTACCACTGAGCTTCAATGCACGGTGAACGCATTAAACTTATGAATTAGCTAAAATTAATTGATCGTATTCTTCTCTCTGTGTAATTGAGCGTAATTAATAACTGAGCAAAACAGAATCACAATACATTTTCCACAATTATCTTCCACAGTGGAATTATTGCTGGATATCCTATTAATGGTCTTTTGTTTGTCATTGACACTAAAGTTGATATCTTATATCATATTCTCTTGTCGACGTTAGTTGCTCGTATTTTGCACAGCCATGACGTGGCTCGCTAATGCAATGACCATATCAGATATGACTGCAGTTCAGTTAGGTACTATGTGAAAATTAAATGGATGCAAATTGTGGAAGATGTAAACAAGTGACTTAAGCGTTGAGACATTATAGATTTGATCATTATTAAAAGAGTGTCAGAGTAATCATTGGGAAAGATCAAGTCACTTTGCACAGACTTGACAAATAAATTTTTCCAATAATCTAACCTAACATAAACTAGAGCGGAATAAACGCGATTATGATATTATTCTTAATTTTCATATTTATTCACAACGCGTTTCCCCTTATCGAAAAATCAAATTCGAATGTCTTGTTTCCTCACGTAAGTACGATATCCAATGGAGTAACTAACTTAAAGAAAATGATTTCTCTTCTTTTTGTTTTAAGCTAACAAAGTATAGAATCCTTTAACGACGTAATCAAGGATTTCAATTCGATGGAATATGGACTAGAGCACTTATGAACATTTCAGTAAAGATAGAACAACAGACTGTCGATGTAACATGTGTTATACTGAAACAATTAAAATTAAAAGAAAAAGCACGCGTATAGAATAAGAAATTATTTAAACGCCTTTAATACTAATTTGGTACCTTTGGTGGGTCAATGGAAATTAATTAATTCTCCAATTGGCATTCTAACAGCCGTATTCTCGAAGTCTTTTTGAATTCGATAAAACTTTAAACAATTTCTATTTCAAGTCTTTAGACTGTGCTGAAGCTCGCTAGTGAAATACAGCGAGGATATTCAGCGGAATGGCCAACTAGCTTAGTATTATGCATAATTTAAAGCGTAAATAATACTCATCGAAAGCCCCAAGTATTTAAGTAATTTTTTAAAAAATTTGGATTGACATTTGATTGTTACTCATAACGAAGAAAAATATCGGATTCAAAGTTACGTCGAATTAATCGTCGACAGTATAATTCGTTAATAGTATTACACCTGAAGTGCCTATTCCAGGGAACGCTTAGCACAGATAAGGACTCGAAAGTTTTAAGCTTTCTCTGGTTAGGTGAAACCTAATTGTATTATGAAAGATAAGTAGACAGAAGGTTGCCTGTTAATATGAGTATATGTAGTACTTGTTGACAATGAATGGGATTAGTAGATTTTAAAGAAGTGAAAACGGATGAAGGTAAAGTATATATATGGTGTATATATATACTATATATATAGGAAAGTAAGAATCTCATGCATTACCTCCAGCAATAGCAGCAGCCTTTGATCCTAGTTTATTCTTCTTGCCTGCTGAAACGAAATTTTCGTTACGTGGAGTTCCAGAGAGAAGAGACATTAATGACACTTAATTTGAAAACGAAAACTTGAAAAAATTCAATTTTCCAGAAATTAACTTACTAGGTAAGCTGAAGGGTGCAGATTCAAAGGGATCTTCGGGTAAGTCGGAATAAGTCATCACAAGACTTTCTCGACTTTTAACTCCACTTATGCTGCTGTTACTTCCTCTTCTGATCTTGTCAAATTCTGCGCCAAAAATATGATCCTCCGTAAGCTGACTAAACGGTTGCGTGTCCTCGAATGGATTCCAAGCTGCTACATCCGCGCTCAATGATCTTCCCTCGACACTTGCTACGCTTGAGAGTTCGCCCTAATACACGAAAAAAGTTGGAATATTTGTAGTACGCAAACGCGGCATAAAGTCCATCAATAATCGATTTTTCGGTGGCCTAATTTTATCCATTTTATTAACATGGGAGTCGTGTCAACGACGTAATTCGATATCCATAATTCTTTTTCTCGATTCTATCATTAATTTATAACTAATTATATCTAGGTGCAGTGCAGAACTTGAACTTAAATGCTTTATAATTAGAAACAGAAGTTGGTAAAACTGATAATTAGAATAAACGCAGGAAAAGTTTAGTAATTATGACAAAAATACAAACACAAAAAAAATATGTTAAGATTGAAGGTCTACGTTCAAGGGTTGCCAATAGTCATTGAAATGAAAGAAGGAACGTCCTGGGAATATTGAGAGAAATAATTATAATTCAAATAAAAGTAAGGACGTGCATTTTAGTACTTACAACACGTACATGCGAGGCACTAGCTCCTATAGAAGGCCTAATATCGGCCGGGACTTCGGGAGGTGTTGTACCTCCCGAGCGAGGTTTAACCGAGGCCTCGTAAGGTGCTAGGAACTGAGAGGTCTCGTTTGCAAATACTCTGTGAACATCGAAATGGCCGCTGTAATACAAATAAGAATCTCTTGACGAATAGGAGCGGCGATAGTGGTTGCGATAAACTGTCAATTTTTAGTCACAATCAACGAGATGATGGGCATCGATGCGAAGACCTTTTGCGTGGGATAAAAATCGAGCAGTGTCATAACCATCGCAAAGCCAGATACTTACTTGTTGAAAGCACTAGTATCGCTGACGTTTCTTCTATGTCGTGAGGATGACAACGTGGGACTCTCTGGTGGCGAAGCGCTTGAGCTGATACTTTGGCTAAGGCTCTCCATCTTGTTAACCGGTTTCGGTAGAACCGGAGTCATACTCGGTGTCAACTTACATGTCCCCGTTGGTGTATTTAGCTTAGGTGCTAGCTGGGTGGGAGTCGTCAACTTTGGTGGCGGTGCTATATTGGTTGGTGTAGTTAATTTTTGAAGAATCTTCGCAGAACCTGGTTTAGGAGCCACCGGAGGAGGAATTTTCGCTGGAGGTGGCATAGACCGTGCATCATCTTTGAAGGGATCAGGATACCCTGTAAAAGGAAGCAAAGCATCGAAATTATCCGTATTCTAGGATCGTGTTCGTCGACGTGAAACTGCAAATGTTTTCTTACCGGAAGCTGGGAACAGGGCGTCCAAGTTATCCTCATTGACAGTCGAAGTTGAAGTTCTCGGTTCGTGTCGTGAATCGAAGTAGTAAGGATTCTTATCCTGTACGGTTACAGGAGATTGATGAGTCAAAGGAGAATGACTTATCATAGGACTCTGGGATTGCCCAAACGGCGATTGCTGAGTTTGGCCTTGTCCAAATGGAGCAGCTTGATTTGGGGAGGAAATGTGAGGTGTAACTTGGGCAAAGGATGATTGAGTCGAGAGCTGTAACGACGGCTGCTGCGGGTTTACAGGAATTGTCTGGATGTTCTGTATATTCTGAACTAAATAAGACTGTGGTGTGTTTACGGGAGTAATTTGTTGGTTAACTTGAACATAGGAAACCGAATTTCCTATAGAGTTTTGGGACTGCAGTTGATTGCCCTGGCCAGATATTTGACCTACGATCTGACCGCCTATGCTTATTGGCCCTGTGCCAACGGCCTGGCCTTTTGGCCTCTGTCTGGGGGCTACAGAGGTACCTTCTACTGCTGTTATTGGAGTAGGTTTTGCTACTTTTACCGACGATGATCGCTTCATACTATCCGACTCGATGCAAGGACATGGAAGGGAATCAAGAGTGGGGGTCGGAACTTTCTGTAAAAATATGCACATACATTACATTCTCTAAACAATTTAAGCTCATAAGAATTTAATGTTATGCAATAAAATTATCCAAGACTCACATGAAGATTCTGCACAGGACAATCCTTCCCTTGTATCTGGAAAGCTATCACCGAAACTTGATAGATGTCAGGTCGAACATCCGGGTCTGGCTCGAGCATGTATCTAATCAAGCAATGCAAAGATTTGCTGTATCTGAAACATCAAATTCTCTTTCAAACTCACGTTCAAATTACAATCTAGTATTTAATTGTCAACGACACGAACCTCGAATTATCAGGTATAACAAAATTTCCTGATTGGATGGCGAGAGTACTCTCGCCAAATGGAAGGGTGAAGAAGCAGAGCTTATATAGCAAACAGCCCAGTGCCTGAATTAGAATGAATCATTCTTTAAACTTCCATTTCTTTTTGTTTTTCAATCAAACTTAATTCTGTCTTACCCATATATCGGCCTTGGTTGTGATTGGTTTACCGCAATACATGTCAACCATCTCTGGTGCTCTATAGCTTAGTGTAGTATATTTTTTAATTTCTTCTTCGACTATTGATGCACCCTGAACGCTTGGATTAAGGACTTTACCAGTTGCTGATCCAAAATCGCATAAGACATAGTGACCTGAATCAGCTAACAGTATATTCTCGACCTAAACAGAATATAATTTGTGGTCAATACTCTTTAGGATTATTACGTGAAAAAGAAGTAACGACATTTATTTAAACTGACCTACCTTCAGGTCCCTGTGTATTATTGGAGTTTGACAATGATGTAGTCGTGACACAGCCTCGCAAACATCACAAAAAATGTGAAGAACTTCCGACTCACTGAAGCCAGTTTGAAGCCTGTAAAGTAATCATAATACCCCATCTTACGTACGAACCGGATAATAGTCTACTGTGTGATTCAACCCGGAAGTAACAGTAAACAGTGAGCAATTCTAAAAATGCCAACCTGTTGTTCATCATTTGAAGAACTTGAGACTTGCAATATGGCATCAGGAGTAAAAGTTCATGAACTCCATTGCCTGTGTGGCTGATGCTGCTATCCACATATCCTATGATGTTCTTATGACCACTCAAGTTACTCTATAAGCAAAAACATTGCGTGGACTATTCCAATATACGTCATAACGAATACAGCGTGTCCTGAGTATTCTGTTTGCATGTATTTTATCGTTGTCATGGTTGAACGCGAACGTAATGGATATTGCTACACAGTAAACTCTTGTGAAGAGTGCCAATAAAAATTGGAGCATCACTCTTTTTTTTCTTTTTTCTACGACATTACATAAAAGTCTATAGATAATGTTAATTGAAGATATATTCATTCGCATAAATAAGATGCGAAGTGATAACTAAGATATACATTTTTCGCTCAACCAAATAGAAGATGTGATTTTGCAGATGTCCTCAGCGTTACCAAAGTAACGCAAAAAATAAGGAGTGCGATACAAAATATGGTTTTATTAATCATCCTTTAAAGACAGAATGAAGCAAAAACGAGAGATAGAGCGAGAGAGAGAAAGAAAACTTATATCGTAATTCGATTGTATGAAATTCTCTGTAACAGGAAAGTTCAGACTGCAATAAAAGGATATGTGTAATTTTTCTATTAAATTATAATGTAGTCATTCGTTTAAATATTTATGATTGTGTATAGGCTGGTTTCCTTCGTCTGAAGGTTTAGGATGAAGATAGCTGATTAAGAGGCGGATGGTATGGCTAAATGGAGATATAAATACGATCTACTGAGGATAATATTAGATTTTAATTGCTTGTGAAACCTTTTTTTATAAATGCACGAAATACGATGCAACTTTAGTGCATCATAATTGCTAATCTGTTCGTAGATTGGCCATTAATTCAATTGATATTGATTGCTAATTTTTAAGGTGCACAAACAATTTGTGAACTCTATAAACAAGAAATCTTTTATGGAGGCAAATAATAGTCATGATTTCATAGAGGAAAACTTTATATGAGAAAGTTTGGCCTCAATTTATACCCTTGATATGCCAAGTAAACCACTGAGTAGTTGGATATATTCTATAGTGTATTTTGTGCAAAGGAAATATATTTGAGATAAAGTTTGTTATCAAATTTCTTCCAAATTTATTATATACTTCCTAACCTTCTGATAACTGAATACATATTTCTATCAACCGTTTACAAAGAAGTTATTGTTTAACTGTACTTACAGCAATTTGTATCTCTCTCTTACAAACATTAAGATCATGTTCGTTGTTGACATACATGCGTTTAAGTGCATATCGACCACTCGATGACTTGACAAGGAACACCACAGCAAATCCTCCTATAAATTAAAATAAAATATACCAATTGTTAGATATATTCATATTAAATTTATCTACCCATAAGAGACAAATGAATATAGATAAATATAGGAAAATTATATCCATTCCTTTAATCTCAATGTAAAGTCTGATTGACTGTTGCAAAAATATGGCAGAGAGTAGTTGTGAATAAACACAGTTTGAGATAAATTGAAGAGATATATAAATGATAATCCTTTATCATAATACTTATGGATTGATAAATTTTGATCTATTATGCAGCTTTAACAATCACAATATGATTCACTTCGATTAAAATCAATTATCTATTGCTCCATATTAGCTTATTGGCTGAGTTAACTGTTTTAACCTTGCATCACTTATTTGACTCTCATTTAAATATTTAGTAATACATCTATGCTTGTGTTATTTCACAATACAGAGAATTTATACAAATGTATGTTTTCTACAAAAACTGTTTACAGAAAAACAATATTTCTCAACTATCAATAAATCTTTAAATGTATATAAAAATAGTAATTCAATTTATGACACAGTAAAAAAAAGTTATATAAACGAGCAGATATGCAAATTGTGTTTACGATAAATAATATAAAGTTTATAATCCACAAATTATGATAAAGATGAAAAGTATAACTTTCATTGACCCCATTCGTTTAAAAATTTGAAAAACTTCTTCAATCTAGGATCTATCACATGGAAATTGGTTTATTCAAAATGATCAAGAAGGACGAATCGGATACAAAATACAAGAATTTAAAAATCAGGATTTACATTAGAATTCAGGGTGGTATCAACGGTCCAGGATAAGATTAGCAGAGAGTAAAAGATAAAAGAATATTGGGCGTAGAAAGTGCAGGCTAAAAATAATGTTCAAGAAAGGATATACCTTCAGCAAGAACTTCCTCGACGGTAACTGTATGCCGACCCACGACGAAGACCTTGCCCACATAGCTATTCGGTTCCTTGGAAGTGTTGTCGATCTTCGAGAAGAGCTTCTTCATGTTGGCACGTCGTCGGCCCTCCCTATCCCCAACTGGCTTGACATAAGGCTTTCTCGCCCGGTTTCCACCGCGTGGTACGCGATCCCCAAAAACAAAAGGACTTTACCTAGTAGCCCTGTACTGTCTGCACTGTACGCCGGCCGTTCTTGTGTTAATTGCGCGTAAACTTAACCAAGAAAAATCAATTTTATCATGATAACAGTTAACGTATTTCAGCCAGCCGACATTTTAAGGCTGCGCTTACTGCGCACGCCCTCTTCCGCAGAAACATCGCCGGAAACATATGTGTTTCACTTCCGGTCGAACGTCAAAAATCTTCAGAACAATTTAAGATAGTCTCTAATAAGATGTAATTTCTCTTGATATTAAAAATCTCCGTGTTTAATATTTATCCAGTAGCGTCGTAGCTATTGTATTTTTTAATTTAATTAGATGAAATACTAAAGATTATCTTATCTCTTCTTACTAATGAGAACTGGGAATAAGATTAGTTTGAATTTCTCCTACCTTAGTGCTCCCGGAAATGAAGACGCGTGGTTCCGGTTGAATGTCAAACCGCTGGTATGAAATATATCATCACTTCTGTGCTTGGCGCGTTTGTTTTTATGTAAATATATTACTCGAGATGAGATTGTCACTGTGATTTGCTTTGAGAGGGGTAATTAGGCGCAATGAGTGATTCAGAGGACTATACTCTTTTGGATGATATAAAAGCTTTGGAAAATGCATTGGCAGAAAAGAATCAGTCACCGTCGACCTCAACAAGTACAACGACGGAATACGTTTTGTCTAACCTTTGTGAGAAAAGTAATTCTGTTACTATAACACAAGAGACACAAGATGATTCTGCCTCGAACAGTTCGTTCTGTGTTAACGAAAATTGTCTTGACATTCAAAAATTGAATTCATTGGATGATCTTCAAGCAGCACTTCTTCTTAACAAGCACTTGATTACCTGTTTGCAAACTACAAAAATGAAGTTTACGACTCTACTTGAGGAATGTCGAAAAAGGAAACAATATGTTGAGCAGAAAATTTTGCAGATTGGAAAGTCCACTTCTACTTCAAAAGTCACATTCTGTAATGCTGGCATGCCATACTTCAAAGACAAGGATCGTTTCGTTGCACCGATGAATGAAGATGCCAAGAAAAAGAAAGCGTCTGGTGAGTTACAGATTGTTCATCTTCCCATTGTTTGCCGATGGACTCCTAAAGATAGGCATATTCTTATCAATGCAATCAAACAAGAGGCTATAACAGATGTTTTAAATAACAAAAAGCTACCAGGCAAAAGAAAAGTTTCTCATCGTAAGATGACCAGTGCACAAAGAATAGCAGAAGAAAGGGCAAATTTGTTGCCTAAATGTTTTCAGGACACTGTTGGACCTTTGGGTGCTAGAGAATTTGACTGGTTGAAAATTGCTGCAACTGATTTTGAAGGTAGGCACTCAGCTGAAGAGTGTCGTGTAATGTGGAATATATTCTTACATCCTGATATCAATAAGACAAAATGGTCTAAGGTGGAAGACGCACATTTGAAGCAACTTGCTGAGCAGAATAAATATGAAAACTGGGATGAGATTGCATTGAAATTAAAAACTCGGAGATCAGGCTACCAATGTTTCATTAGGTTCAACACTACCAACCGTCAATTTGGATTTAAGGGATGTCAGTGGAAAAAGGAAGAGGATCAAAGACTTGTGGATGCTGTAAATAAGCTAAGGCATGGAGACTTTATTCCTTGGGGTGAAGTTGCTAGTTGCATGCATAATAGAACAAAGCAACAGGTATACTTTCGGTGGACCTACAGTTTGGCACCACATTTAAAAAAGGGTCGCTTCACAGCAACAGAAGACAAAATCTTGATGAATGCTGTAGCAAAGTATGGAAAGAACTTTGGAAAAATAGTAGCTCTTTGCATGCCTAACAGAACTACAGTTCAGCTTAGTGACCATTACCAAACTCTAGTCGTGAGAGAAAGTGGGAACCAAAATACTTGGAGTCTTGAGGAGGACGTACAACTTATTAAACTTCATGTACAATATGGTTCAGATTGGGTAAAGATTGCTAAGCACTTCCCCACAAAGACCAGAATTCATGTTAGACATAGATTTTCTGCTCTTCTTCGATATCAGAGGAAGAATGTTTCCTTGAAAGATATTCCACGGACGTACCAAGGAAATTTATCTGCAACGGAAATATTTCCTCTAGAGAAGAAGAAAACTGATGAAGAGAATGTTGAAATAGCTGAAGATGAAATAGATATTGACTCACAGCTTCTACTCTATTTTAAAGAAATAGCATCTCCATCGAAATTTAAAGGAACGAGAAAGTCATATAGCTCAGATGAAATTATGTTGAAAATTCCAAAATTGTATAACATCCTACAGAATTTAAATGCTAATCTCGTTATTCCTGAATCTCTCCACACACAGTCTTTATCTTTGAAAAATAAACAATTGCTGCTTGCCTTAAAGGTATATGGCGAATCGAAAGCAACAAAAGGTGCAGAACGTTGTGAAAGCATAAAAGCTATACAGCAAAGGATGTTTGGCAGTGAACACAACTCAGACACCTACAACCATTTTGTACCACCATTACCATTCAATATGATATGCAAAACCAAAAATGCAATTCACCAGAAAACTTTAGAATATGATTTAAACACTGATCAACAATTTTCTGCAGAAGTGAACATGCAACTAGAAACTCCTGAAAATGTAATTTCTATGATAGGCATTAATTCGCATCTGGAGTTTGAAAAAGTTACTCGGATCTTAATTGGATTAAGTAGAAAAATAGAGAAACAAACTGTCATCAAAAAAATTTACATTCTACCTCCACAGAAAAAGGTTAATAATTCGCATGGTACAAAAAGACATGTAGCAAATTGCAGTAAAGATGGTGGGAAGAAGCTCCAAATAATGTCATTTCCTCCCAAGGATCCTAGCACTTCTGGTATTGCAGTTGAATCAAGTACAAAGAATGTAAGTCAATCAGATGAAGCACCATGGCCACGAATGTTTCAGGAAACATTGCCACCATCAGGTTACTCAATATTGGAACCAAATTATTCAACAATATTTGGATTTCGCAATATACTTTCATCAAAACAAATGTCAAACATAAACGACAAAGCTGTAGACAAACAAAGAAACAGACTCAAATATCAACCGGATGGACATAAAGCTTTCGAGCTGCTGAGGCAACGGCTTTTAAAGTTGTTCAAAATTCCAGTAGGCATGTCGCAAATTCTGCCACCAGAAATACACGGTGGAGAGAAAATATTTTTGTCTTACGCAGAAAATGTGCTGAAAAGTAAGTTAAAAAGTAAAAGTAAAAAAGTCGTTCCTAAAAAACCAGGTACAACCGAAAAGGAATCACGTGTTAAAAAGGAAAGAATCGATAATCCAAGTGAAACTGTACACAGCTAAGATATAATTGATGATTAGTAATAAACAATAACTATAAAACATCTGTGATGTAGGACTGTTTCGGTCTAATTATAAGAAGTTCTCAGCATTTTGTCTTAAGTATCTACAATAAACCATATTTCTACGACTTGTAATTCGAACTTTGTACGAAATATCTGACTAAGGATGTAATACCTAATAAAAGACAACCAAATTGATTTGATACAAGCATTTTTATTTGTATCTTACAACTGAGAAGAGATTTCGATTTGTAAAAAATTAGCTCGCAGTTGCCAGCAATTCCTCTGAACATGCTTTCGTTAAATTTTGTTCTGTTTCACGTAAAACTATTCGACAAGTTTGATAAATGCACTTGAATCATAAATATTAGACAAAAACATAATAAATCGCTATACAATACACCACTGGTAAAATGCAATCAGATACTTCATAATCTCAGAAGTTTACGTTACCTACAAATATAAGATGTTCACCAAAGAAGCTACTGCTTACCAACACAGAAAATCAGCATGTTGAATATTATAATCTTACAAAATAAACTGTTATTCTATAGTTGTTAGTGCAAAAGTACATTTTTTTCAAGCAAAGTCAATCCAAATGTTTCATAGGCCAAGAACGTTATACGACGTCATTGAATTCTCACATAATTTATAACTTCAATTCCTTGCATCTCATTCTCGATAAATCACTGTGTGAATGATCATAGTGAAAAACGTTTTGAAAATGAGAGAGCATAGATTTAATTATTATTTAGTATACATATATATATATATTGTAACCCACGAGTGGACATTGAAAGTTATTTTAAAAAGTCAAAATCAAAATACATTATATTATAGAAATAATAATTATAATACATGCGCTCATGACGCAATGTGATGTTATCAAAATGACTTCATTAAAATACTTATCAATTATCAGGTAACCTAAATAACTGATTTAGAAAGTCTCGTGCGACCAAAGAATATCAAAAATGAATTGTCTTTAAAATAGTCGCGTGCAATCTGACAGATTTCCAGCAACTCTAACCTACGTGCCTATAGAAGTACATTGATTCATTCAGACCTTGCAACAGCTTTTTGATACATTTCAATTATAATACATCTCATAACATTTCACTCACATTTACCTCTACAATCTACTTTCGCTTTGGAGCCGAATTGTTATAGATGGTCAATTATTATTGCACAGCCAGCAGTGAAAATGCCCCACAACAATAAACTAGCTTCGAATCTAATAATTAAAGATCTGATACTATCCAGAACAATCTTCAAAGGTTTATTGGTCACTTTCACCATAGGCTTCTCCTGAATGATCTTCATCTTCGTCAGATAGTCGATCAGCGGCGGATGGTCGCGACTGAACACCGGGAAATACTCGGTTACCTTTTCCCTTGTCCACCAGGCTTGTCCGTTCCTAATAATCATTATTAAAATTATTTTAAAAAATTGGATAATACTTCTAAAAATGAGTAAGACAGTGAATCTTCACTCACGATTTACTCCATGGAGTATAGCGATAATGATATAAGCTGGCTTTCACGTATTTCGGTGGACCGTCACGGAATGGATTCTGAGCGTTATTGAGAAGCGATAGGACTTCCGGTTGTCCATTTAACAAACGATAGGCCAAAGACATAAGCCATGGATTCTGATGATAAGTTCCTAAAGCTGCAAACCACATTTGCCAATCGAGTCTAGGCTGATGAGGTGCTGTACAAAAAAGAATCATGTATTTTTTACGATTTACATTGTCTGTTGAAAAATGAAGTAAACGTACCAACAAATGGTAAAGAATTATTGACGTTTCCTGGTTTATATAGGAATTCATATTCTTTCCATGGGCCATCAATATTGTTACTTCCTTCAATTATAACTTCTGGTCTACCACCAACTCCTGTCATACGACGGAATAATCCATAACTACCAACCAAGTGAAGATAATCTACTTTGGCATGGAGCTGTCTAATTTGATTCGGTACAGTCGCGTTATGAGATGAATGCAGAGTAGAATAAGGAACCTAGATTAAAAATGTTCGTTATCAATTGGCTGGTTTTCTTCTTTTCCCTTAAGGGGTAGAACCTCATATAAAGGCTGAAAAAAGGCAATTTTTATGACTTTTGTTTTCAAAGAAATTTCATATTAGAAATATTCTTAGTATAAAAGTCTTAAACAACAATGTTTTGAGTGCTTAAAAATATTTTTTTCATATAAAGAACGTAATGGTGGAGATACTAGCGTCGTTGTGAAACGTGTGGAAGCGGAGATGTTCAATTTACGGGCAATCTAGCGACCCTGCGATGCATCCTGAGACATTCAGGAGAAAATGACTTGTTAATAAGAAGTATAATTCGTAGTTAAACCTACAAAATGTGAAAAATATTGAAAATTTATAATAAAATTGAAGTTATGAAAAAAAAATTGATTTTTCGATAAAAATTTCGAACTTTATACATTTTTTGTTCAAGTTTTTTTACTTAATATTTCGAAACGTGTAGGTTCAAATATAAGATATTACTATTTTACAAATTTATACAAAATCAGAGCACAGTGAAACAAGTAGTTTTTGAGATATCTTGCCCATACATTCGAAAAATGCTATTTCGAGAAAAACGCGTTTAAAGTTTCGGCTTTTCCGTGGTCTACCGCTCCAGTTGTATCACCAATTCTCCTTTCGGATACGATTACATTTTAAAAACGTATTGTACTACAAAAAACTACGAAGTAATTGAACTCCGAATGAAATTTTCAAAAATGACAGTAAGGATAAATAAAAATCGATGTTCCGTCTCTAGCGCTCGTAACTAACGGAGGAGAGGTAGGTTCGCGCTTTGGGCTATATTTCGAGAACCACATTAAATATCGATGCAAAACTTTTCTAGGAACATTCCACATTGAATGTAGAACATTTTAAAGCACACAAAATTATTGAAATTTTCATAATTTTACACGAGGTTCCCCCCGTAAGATTAAAATAATGTTTTGTACTTACAATGCTAATTGCAAAGAGAAAAACCACGATTGCTGTATAAAAAATTGTTGTTAGCGTGGTCAAGATTTTATTTTGAATACCTTTTATAGTTAAAATGGAATTAGTTACAGCATCGGCTACAGTGAAACCCAAGGATACTAAGGCAATGTAAACTGAAATAGGTATCACGCGTGAAAGAACATAGTCAAATTGTTCTTCGGTAAATGCTGAAAAATCCAAAATTTTTAGTAAAAATAATACGGAATCAGAATTATGAAAATCAACTGTACTTCTCAAATGAACTTACCGATTTCGGATTCAATGGTCCAATTGTCTAAAATTCGAAGCTTGTAATAGACGTACGTTCCATAAATAACACCAGCATAGACTAAAACACAGACTGCAGTGGACAGATAATCTAAAATCTGTGTGCCACTGCTCTTAAGCTTCTTCTTATAAAAGAATTGGTCATCCAGCAGAGAAATGGATAAGCAAATTGTTAACAAATTAAAGAAATTATAATTGCCTGTTGCAATAATATGCAATTGGAGGAATACCTGGAAATAAATAATTCATACACGTCAAAACTTCTATAGGCTCCATTAGGAAAATCCTCACACATGAATGACTCTTACCTGAAGATAAAAGGCCGTAATCCGTACTTTTCTATTTGGAAAGAAAAACAGAAAAGGAATAACAAGTTCAAATACGATTGCTACTACTGTACTTAAACGAAGGTACCAAGTTGGCAAATGGTGAGCGTACCAAGCCAATGGAGTAGGGATACATTGACTTTCGAAATGGATATTCAGAGCTGTAAGAATGAGAGTTTAGATAGGACTGGTGTCCATTCATGGACAGACAGAAAATGATGATGCCATATAAAGAAAAAGTAAGTCTAAGTGATCCATCGATCAAAGTGAAATTTACCATCCAATTTCCACCAAGTTGGACATCCGGACGTAAGTTTTACGACTCCGCTAGAAAACATCAAACGGAAAAGCAACCAACGAACTGTCCAAAACGTGATTGAGTCACTGGGTGTACCGGACTTTCTGCGTTGTGTGTACCAAAATGGAGCAATAATAGTGCACAAGAATCCAGCTTCCAATAAAAGGATATCCCTGCAATGAAATGGCATTATAGTAATTTTCATAATTTCTTTTATAATAAATCTATCTGCAGTGACTTGTAAACAAATCGGGAAATATTCCAACTGATCCGATATATCCTTGACTCGTTCGCATTTGATACACCACATATGTCTTAGATATCAATACAATTCTCACGTTACAAGTCCACTTCCAACTTATGCAATGTGAACATGTTTTGACATGGAAAAAAAGTTCATGAACTACCTTGAGTTAACGATAAACAGTAGATACCTTCAATTGCATCTTTTATAAAAATTACTAATTTACTCGACAGACTGTAATAGAATATATTCAAGCTAGGGATAGAGTTTTTAATCTGTCTAGCCTATAAATGAAAATACTTACCATTGAAACCACATAAAAGTTTGACCAACTTGATACAACGAATAATAGAGAGCCCACAGTACTGCAAATACAGGAGCAATGCAAACTCTTTGTGAAACGAATCTGCAATAGGAAATGATATATGGTAATACAAAATGGCAGTGTCAATTCCAATAACTAAGAGCATAATAAAATGTATCATTGTAATTTAACTCCAAATAAGCAAGTACCCTATGAATGAAAGGATGATTCCAGACAAAGAAAGTAGGTCCAGCATGTAATCAATGTTCAGACCAATGTATGGTGCAAACCATAATAATGTTGGTTTCTGTCTTAGCTGTTGAGATAAAGGCGCTTTGCTTGTTAAATCCAATTTTGCTCTAGCAGGTAGAACTCCATTTTCTCCATACAATCCTAATATACATAAAAATATATTCACCTCAATAAATATGATCTAAAATGTAAAATTATTATTTACAAGAGTATTATTCCTATTATAGATGTGCCAACGTGAGTAAGGTTATATATATAATATAAACACTTCAGTGGCTTCCTATCCCACATATCTAATTTAAAAAAGTATCTGAACATATTTCTCGTTACATTCTAATATAATATATCAGTTAAAAGTTATTTAGAGCAAGTAGAATTGGATAAGATTAGAATAAATTATGCATCTCAATAATGACCCATGTATGATAATCAAATCATTAAACTGAAATACAGTATGTAGTTCCTTATAAGAAATAAAATAAAAATAATACAATAAAACATATCGTTCAAGATAACATAAGAATCTAAAATAGATAAATAATAAAATATAATTGAAAAATTATTATTGTTATAACACGAATAAAACATGAACAAACAATTGTAGCTAAAACGACCAATTAAATTATCCGATTGTTCCAAGGTTTAATAACAGATAATGCAAATAATCAGATAACTATTAGATCATTTTTGAATCGGGTGAGTGATCGCTTAAATCATCAACGCAAACAAATAATACCGTTAAATTCATAATAAAAACAAGAAACTTGTCTTCACGAAGCACCTATTAACTAATCAATTCCAGTTACTCTGAAAAGATGAATACTTCAAAATTAGAGCTCCAATAAATTGTAACGTAGAAACGTATCATCCATAAAAGCAAACAAAAAAACTGCATTAACCGCTGGATATATTTATCAATATACACACGAAAAAGGAAAAAAAATGTGAGTGAAAATGTTCTTGAGAAATGTAGAATCTCACAACGGTCGAGCAACGTAAAAACAACGTTATGCAGCAACGTAACAAAACGTTGAGTATTGTTAGAATTTTCAAAATATCCCGGATATCATAGATCGATAAGAGCCGGCGGAGCCACGTTAAAAAATACAGCTATTTTTGGTGCGACTGCATCTGTATCACTTACCAGGAATTTGGATATAGTAGCTCAGGAACGCGAAGAGATAAATTATACACATCCCTCTGAGAAAGAGATTCCGCGTGTAGCGTACCTGGGCCATTTCACTGCTTCTAGAATCTCAGTTCGTGTAAAAAAATGCACATTTACCGAAGCCAAATAACAAATAATAAATTTAGCGGTGAACGGAATCAGTACTCGCGTACCGCGATTCTAATTCCATGATTCGATGCTACATGAGGTGGGATATACCCACGCCAAAACAGGTTATCCAATGAAATGCAAAGAAAGTCACTATATTTAAAGGCTTCTGAAGGCAATTAACAGAGACATCTGTTTGAAAACTTTTAAACTACGTTGATACTCGATATGAACAAAAATTAGACATTTAGGTAAAAAATTATGAATCAATCTATCTCGCCAAGAAGAGTTGTGTAAACTTTTTCTTTTTAGTATGGTAAATTTGTTTTGAGTTTTATTAAATATCCTTCAGCATTGGATTTGACAGTATTATGCATATTTGATAATGTTAAATAATGATTCAGTTACCGGTAATCGATAAATGAAGGAGTTTATGGTATGTTATTGACGCGAGTTTAGCCACGTGCCTGGTTGTCACTCGCATATATTATTTCTTGTAATTGTTTGTAATTAAAAGATAGAAAAATGCCAGCTAAAATAAAAAATAATGTTTTAATGTATGAAGGGTGTAATTATTTGAGATATCGTTTGCTATTGTCTACTTTATCCTGTAAACCTGTAAGAATTACCGATATTCGTGCTGGTGATGACGATCCTGGACTTCGAGGTTAGCACTCTTGATTAAAATGTTTTATATTTTTTAATTTATCTTTAATCTTACTTGTGAACGTTTTTTTTTATTTTAGAATATGAAATTAGTTTTATACGACTTCTGGATAAAGTAACAAATGGAACTAGAATTGAATTAAATGAAACTGGCACAAGTTTATATTACAATCCTGGGTTACTCGTTGGAGGTGACTTGGAACATGATTGTAGCTTACAACGAGGGATTGGTTATTATTTAGAAGGAATCATGGCTTTAGCACCTTTTTGTAAAATACCTATGAACATCAAACTCAGAGGAATTACAAACAATGCTCTTGGTATGATATTTGTATTTATCCCTGATTGTATTTATATTTAATAATTTCTTTTGTAATTATTGCTTTAGATCCCTCGGTAGATAGAATTAAAGCTTCAGCTATTCCCCTAGTAAAACGATTTTTAGCAGGAGATAATAGTATTGAACTAATCATTTCTAAAAGAGGTGTTGCTCCAATGGGTGGTGGAGAAGTAAAATTTCTCTGCCCAATCAATAAAAATTTAAAAACAATACAAGTACGTTCAATAAGCTATATTCGTTATAACATACAATATTAGTTTCATACACGAAATTTCATAGATAAACGTTGCAGTTTCAGAACAGTGGAATGGTAAAACGTATCAGAGGAATTGCATGTAGTGTGAGAGTATCACCAGCAATAGCTAATCGTATGGTGGAATCTGCAAAAGGAGTTCTTTTAAATTTTTTACCAGATATCTACATTCATACTGATCAAAGCAGAGGAGCTTCTAGTGGGAAATCTCCAGGTACTCTCAAGTTGGTCAGTGAAACAATTAGAATACATTCATTTATAACATATCTAATTTATATATCAGGTTTTGGAATAAGCCTGACTGCAGAGACTACCACAGAAGTATTTTTAAGTGGGGAAGCATTCTCACCTTTAATGACAACAGGATCATTACCCTGTGTACCTGAAGATTTAGGAAAAGAAGCTGCTTTAAAGCTTCTTGATGAAATACACAGGTAAGAATGTAAGATAACGTTTCTCAATGATCAAATACATTAAGTTAAAACTGTTCAGGAATGGATGCGTGGACTCACCATTCCAAAGTATGGCTGCTTTGTTTATGGCACTTGGAAAAAAAGATGTTTCTAAAATAACAGTGGGACCGCTCACACAAACTATGTAAGTATTAAATTATATTTCTAAAAGTAATTGTGATTACTTCATATATTCCGTTAACAGGATTCAATTTTTGCGAGACCTGCGAGATTTTTTTGGTACAGTATTTAAAATAGAGCATGTAAAAGAGGAAGAAGATGATACGCTAACTACACAGGAACAGATACTGTTAACTTGCGTCGGCATAGGATACACAAACATAAGTCGACGTGTTTTATAATTTATTTGTAATAAAATGTTTGTATACATATAACAATTTACGTATAATATTCCCAGGGAAAGTGCAGTTATTTTTTTTCAAACGCGAGTATTATAAATTATAATATAAAGTCTTGGGATTCTAAAGGCTTTGTAGGCCAGGCATGAAATTTTTTCAATCTAAGTTGCTTCCATGCCTCTTGATAAAGATTTGACCATTGCTTAAATTGGTAGTATCCAATTTTTTTAGGATGCCTTTGTTCACTATCGATACCTTTATATTTCTCAATAATTCTCAAAAATATTCTTAAAAGCTCACGTCTACTTATAAGTAATAAGTTTCCTTTCCTTTTTTTAGTTGCTCCCTGTTTCCTACCTTCAACTGCTACTTCCAATTCCCTAAAACAATCAGTCTACAATTTTCACCTGTAAAATATTAGAAACTGATTCTAATGACTCTATAACAGCAGAACTCAAATATTATTAGTCTTTTGATTGAATACTGTGCAAGATTACCTGTTGCGCACAGAACACCATATAATGCTTGTTGGACATGGTTGCGTCCTTAGAGTTCCCTTCAAATGTATAAAACTTTCTGTGGCTTGAAATATTTTAAGACGCGCAACATCATTGCCAAATCTCTTATACAAGCCACGCTCCATGGCTTCTTGAGAAAATGGACTTCCACCCCCAATTGTAATACTCTCTAATCTTAGTGGTGCAATCAATAAGCTAAGGAATGATCCTTGAACACCCAATATATTCCACCTATAGTGAACGTTCGCTTTTTAAAAATGAGAAATATATCAGAAATTCATCTATGCTCGTTATTCATACTCACTTTGCCAATTTATCTGAGCATGATAAACTCAAAGTTGGGTCACCTCTACCTGGTTTAGTGCGTAACGATCCAAGAACGTGATAATTTATACCAGGTTCGAGGAGATCCTGTCTTTCTTCTGTTGAAACGCATTTCGCACCGGTTCTATATATATCACTAATTATCCTACAATTTTTCTTTGTTGTAATTAAGGAAGAGTCGTTTGACGCTTCACTAAGTGCACTTATTTTTCTTATTTTTGCGGGAGGATTAATCTCTTCATCAAGCACCTTTGCTTCTTTTGGAAATATTGAACAATCGCCGCATGGCGTTTGAGTTGAGAAAAAGTGAAATAATATGCCAGGTTTAATACCAATCTTATCAGTTGAATCTAATGCGAACACGTCACTCTTTTGATCATTCAGTAATAAATCTAATTGATCATACAAATATCGTAGAAAAGCACGTCTAGCTAGGATCTCTGCATGAGAGTCACTCAATCTGCTGCCCCTTTCCCATATTTCAGTATTCAGTAGATCAGAACCACCCAAACACTTTGTTCCTGTGGTCAGGGATACCACTGATAATGTACCATTAATATTTTCCAAAACTATGCCAGATAAAACGGTCCATTCGTTACTGGTAGGTTTACCGGTTTTCTTTAAACTATTGTACTTTTGTAGGCAGAGTTTTGCTACTTTATCTGCAAAGCTATTCATATTAATTTATAATATATACTGTTTTAATCCACTACCAAGCAAAAAAAATGTTCTCGTAATAATAATATCAATGAAGGCAAGATTTGAAATTATAGTATTTAAAAAACATTTGTTGGATCCCACGCATATTTTTGTTGAGGTAAATTTGATAGTGTTTCCATTTGGCTAGAGGTAAGCATAAAGTTTAACTCAACATTTTCTTTTATGTGTTTCTTGTTTACAGCTTTTGGTATAATTCCTGAAAGGTGTAATGCATAATTTATTTATAAATATATATCTAAAACTTATGTTTAGTTTAAAAGTGGATTTTTTATACCAATGCCTTGTTGTACTGCCCATTTTAAAAGTACTCTGGCAGGAGAAACATTAATGTCAGAAGCAATACTATAAACTACAGGGTCTTTCAAAAGAGCCGTAGGGTCACTAGTGCCCAATGACGAATAAGCTTGCACATGTATTCCCTCCCGTTTGCAAAAATCTATTAATTCCTTTTGGGAATAATGAGGATGACATTCCACCTATAAATTACATAAAATATAAATTTTGCTTAAGAAATAATATTAATCAATATTTTCAATTAAACATACTTGATTCACTGCTGGAATAACACCATAAGAGTTCTGCAGTAATTCTTTCAAGTGCTTTATATTATAGTTTGATACACCTATCGATCTGATGTATCCTTCTTTTTGTATCTCAACTAATGTCCTCCAAGTGAGATTTCTTAATTCAGGATTCTGCTGTGAATTCTCTGACATACCACTGGCACCTGGCCAATGAATCAAATACAAATCTAAATACGCAGTGCCTAACCACTTCAGAGATCTTAATACAGATTCACGAATTCTTTGTGGATCACCGTTATCACTAGGAGCTGTACTGACAAAAGATCTTGTGGTAAATTATCAATTACATAGAACCTTCTCACTACGCACTTACAAAGTTTTGATGTTATAAATAAGTCAGATCTTGACAAAGCATACTTTGGAAGTAACTTATTCAATGCATATCCAATATCTTCTTCATTTTTGTATACTGCAGCTGTATCTGTTTGAAGCAATTACCAAATATCAGCTGATCAGTGCTACTATGCATAAACAATAAATGTCTTACCAAATGAACGATATCCTGAATTCAAACTTTCGTCAATAACAGTGTATATGACATCTCTTCCTCTCACCCTATACGTACCAACTAAAAATTTTAATTATCGTAATCAATTAAAAAATCAAAAATGTACGTGGAAAGTATAATGTTGGAACCATATTCTTTCAATTTTGAGGTTACGAACTTACGTCCTACAAGAGGCATTTTATATACACTCGACAGATGAACATATATGTCCATAACACTCATGATTTATTTAAATATTAAAATGTTATATAAAAACAACTTTTTCAAAATAAACTTATTGGAATCTATTTATAACAATTCTACGTTTCACCTAAGTGAACACCAGAGAACCAAGATGGAATTAACTTTTCAACGGTCTCTTTATGTAGCAAATTTGTGAATACCAGATTGATAAAAGTCAAATTTCATTTTCTTTCTTTTGACAATTAAGATAATATATATATATAAATAATTCATACCTGTAGCGTTGTGCACGTCATCACTGCCAGAATGAAATACAAATATCTCGAAGAAGCAAATAAACGTGAAACGAAGAAATTCGATTTTCGTTTTATTTCACCACTGTTAATCGCTAAATGAACGTAATTTAAATAATATAGTAATAAAAATATGACTCTATCGTTATATGCATCAGTGCGGAGAATGAGAATCGATTAATTTTCACATTTCCACTATAGGTTTGACATTAAACATAGACAAGAAGCTGCATCGCTTAATGCACCCGTTTATATAACGAAAAAAATGACAAATCAATACACAAATGAGTAATACTTAAATAATTCTTTTTCCAAAATTCGTAAAGTGAACAATGATGAATTTCATCTTTCGTTGCGCAACTCCCACTCGACTCTGAATATATTTTCACTATCTGAAAAATCAAGGAAGTTTCCGAAGTCACGATTGAGTGCGAAGAGCACGCTTTCCTGTTACACATTTTTTTTCTTCTACACTTTAATTTACTTTCTCCGTAATTTTGTTATTAAACATTTTATATATATATGTATATCTCTTTTTTGTAAAAGTAAAGCTACCGTGTCTCCCGGAATCTTCGGAAAATTTTCCTTGCTACATGAACCGCAACATAAATCTCCATAACGATTTTCGTTATTATCAATTTTCATTTTTTTACGTTTCCTCATTCTTTCTTGTTACTATCTGCATTACCTTTTGTACTTTCATACCCTACAAGGTTTCGAGCTCTTCGTTAATCTGCCTTCACAGAATCAGTATACATGCATATACATACATACATATATATGCTTAATTTTTTATTTGCGATTTCATTGCAAACTATAAACTCTCGTAAACAATATGAAGTACTATATTTCGTAAATCAGATCTTTATAACAAAGACTTTTAAAAATCAGAATTACTTTGCATTGCTGCCTCCCGCATGTGTTAAATATTGCCACGATATCCTGCACGTTTAACTAAGGTACGCGCCAATTACAATAAAATTTTAATCTATAGAAGAGAAGAGAAAAGAAAGAAAAAAAAAGAAAGGAAAACAAAAAAATAAGAGCGTCCGAATAAATTTAGACAGAGGCTACATATAAACCATTACGACAAGTCGAAACTCAAGTAACGTGAACTTACTAATAAAATTGCTTGTCCGCTTAATATATAATTTCTTATCTATATATAAATATATGCGCGCAATGCGAGTAAATTCTATCGCGATTCCCATCGCTGTTTTCCATTCAAATCTTTCATAAGTCCAACGATCAGATAACTCTTATCATGAGAAGTTTTAACACATCGAACATCAGTATATCGCAGCACCACATAAAATAGACACCCAGTCTTAGAGGCACTTTAATGGAAACGAATTTTCTTCTAAAAGTACATTTTTTGTTCCCCCCCACCCCCAAATCGCGAAGACCCTTGCTCGCAATGCGCAGTTTCTATAATTCTGAGTGTGTACATATATATTTGTGTATATATATAACATGTAAATATGTATCTATACGTTCATCTAAACGTACATACGTTGAGCACGCAAGTGCCGTGAATTTGAGTTTCTATCCCGCACGCGAGCGTGCAATTGCGTCCTTATGTATGCGAGAGGACATATTTAAAGAGATTCTCGTAAAATAATAATAATAATAATATACTGCTAACAACTAATACGAATAATAATAAAACGTTTGAGAGTAAATTCACGATACTGAACTTAAGTAGATTGCAGATCACTCGCGTTTGTAGCTATGCTTTTAAGCATGTATGTATGTACAAGAAAAGATGAGCTACCGAGACATTTTTCATTACTTTCATTTTTCTTAAGGATTTCACGACGCGTTTAAAACAAAGTCCCTCGTGATGAGTTCTCGAGCGACGAGCGCGAAAAAATTCAAATATAATTATACATACAGAAATTATTAAATATATATATATATATATGCTTTTGTTGTTTCTACGTGTAATATGTATATATATTTATATATATATAAACCGGGTTATTAAATCCAAACGCATCGCATGAAGTTGGCGCGCTCATTTGATTCCTATGGTAAAGCCATATTCAGGTGGTGCGTTTGGACTGGAGTAACCGGGTATATATAAAACTAAAATTCTTATAGATACATTTATGGCAGACCCTAACATTTAATAGATTTATTTATAAACTATAATGTTAATTCGATATTAAGTAAATCAATCTCTCACGCAATCGCTCCTGCAACTTATCAACAAAATTATTACATACACTTGCTTGTTTTTTGTTTTTCTGTTTTTTTTTTCTTCTTTTTTTTAATATAAATTCATAACTTAGATTTAGGTAATGATCTCGCGAGCGGAAAAGTGTTAACAACAGATCTGATATTTTGGTTGCCAGTCTAACTTCGCCATTAATCGTCAATACATATATATATATATCTCTATTCACGCATAGCTTCCGCTTCCCGGGAACTCGCGCGGAGTTGACCCGCGTTGTGCGCGGAAGGGAAGAGGGGGGGGGGTCAAAAAGGAAATCATTTTTTGTTTGTAAAACATTAACAAAACTCAACAAACACGACTCAACGATCCGACACCAACTAATAAGAATGATGACGGCTGGTTATTGCATGGATAATATTGCGGGACGTAAACGTTCGAACACAGTGGGTCTGTGAAACGAGCGTATCGATTCTAGTAAACACGTACTAAAAGAAGGAAAAGAAAAAAAAAATTAAAAAAAAAAATACTCGTGAAAAATTCCTTTACATATATATGTATAATAGCCATAGTTCCCGGTGAAATTAGTATCGCTCGCCATTCCTTCACCTTAAGGGTGGCCCCACCGTAATTTTCGTTTCGTTCCACCCCCTGCGATCACCTCGTTTCCTTTTAGGCAAATACAATATCGAAACGAGAAAGTGAAAAATTTGCGAAAACAAGAACAATCGAGTCAATCTCAGGCAACGATACAATATTAATAACGATAGCCGTAAGTTTATCGAAAATATATTCTTAAACGTTACTGTCTCGCTTCTCCAACATGGCGGACTTGCACGAGGAGGAGCCTTCTCTTCGCCAGGATCGTCGTTTCAGCACCCAAGCAGAACTTCCGCGTAGTGATGAAGAGTTCTCCTGTCTGCATGTTTTTTTTTTCTTCTTCGCTTGAGAATTCATGATGAGTACAGCCGAAAAGGGCCCTCGTAATCCAAGGTCAAAGTATATCGTGTCCTGAGTATCCTGTCTGCGTCGCGACGCACATAAAATCGCGACGTACCACGATTACGAGGCATACAAAAGAAGGTTCCTCATAAATATTCGCGTTTGCATCTTACGCGTGTAAAGTGCATCGCCTCGAATTAAATAACAGGAATGAACATTCCTTCGATCTTGCTTCTGAGTGACGCCGATAACTATCACGTGATTATGGTTCCTCGCTACGAGTCGTCCCAAAGATTGCACTTCGAGCGTAAGTCATTACCATCGGGGCGTCGGTAAGGAAGGAATCTCGACTGTAACAATAACTACAGAGTAAGCCATCAAGATTGTGGCGTAAACGAAAAATAGAAAAAGGACGAAAAAATTTACTCGGATTCAGAGACCATCGATTCTTTCGAACAATACTTTCCCCGAGGTTTGTTAATTTTGCTTTTTTTTTCCGAATGCCATGCATAATCAGGTTCCTTGAGCATGGCAGAACGCAGGTCAGCCATGTTAAAGGAATGCCTTGTATGCATCACCGAAAATTGCAAAGTGCAAGCTTTGGATACTGGATAAAAAAAAGTGGAAGATTATAAAAGGATGGATAAATAGTGGCAATTGATAGTGGTGGTGGTGGTTGTGGTGGTGATGGTGGTAGGCCTGGCGAACAGGGCTGGTGACGCGCGGACGGCGAAGGTGGTCGGCTGGTTGACGAACCGATCGAACCGATCGAGCGCGGATGCTGTTCCAGAGTCCAGGTGTTAGCACGGGACGAGTGGATTCCATTGTTAGCACTCCAAGCCTACAGGCCATGGGCAACCGGGGTTAACAAGAAAGAAAAGAAAAAAACAGTTTGTTAGTAATCCGATGATGGTCGACCGACGTTAACATTAATAACGTAAAAAAAAAAAAAAAATAGTAGTAGTAGTAGCTCGTCGGCCGATAGAGATGTTTGGTTAATGAAAAGCAATGCCTGATATCTCGACGGGAATTGGGTCAGCTATGGTATCCACTATTATACAGATACGGTATTAAAACAGTTTCTAGCCTCGTCTTGTCTCACGACTAAAATACCCGAATTCATGTATTCGTCGATTAATGACATTAAAGCGAAGTAGCTGCGAATAAGAGAGATGACAAGATTTCGCGTGAGACAGTGATAAGACAGAGAAGTTAAGAGTATACAGCGATAGATTACGGAGAGTGTGAGAGAGAAAGTGAGAGGTCGTGTGAAAAATACTAAAAATAAAAAAAAAAAATAAAAATTTCCCTCTCGCAAATAAACACCGTTAGGCATGAATGATAAAGAGAAGCTTTCGACAAAAGCCGACGAGTATTGAATAGCATTGCTTTACATTTCTGTCGATTTTGAAATCGAGATTGAAAGAGATAGAAAAAAAAATTTTTTTCAAATCAAGTGAAACAGTACAAAGACATTAGTATGAAAGCGTCTGAACTCGGTGTGTATACAATGAAATGTGACAATCGCCAGAACGAGAGACTCCTCGGCAATACAGCAGCCATTTTGATTAGAACCACGTGACAAAAGTCATTTGGTTAATGATTTCATTTTGCTTGTTTCCCCTTTTCGTTATATTTTCTTTCTTTTTTTTTTTCAATTGTCAACAATGGTCCCTCCCTTGCGAGAGACAGAGACAGAGAGAGAGAGAGAGAGAGAGAGAGAGAGAGAGATAGATATAGACAGATCGAGAGAGAGAGAGAGAGAGAGAGGGGACCAAAGTCAGAAAGACAGACAAGAGTGGACATCGGAGAAACAATACAAAATAATGTAGAAAAATATATATGTATATATATATATATTTTTTGAATTTTTCAACTAAATATTTGCGCACTTGGGTAAACATGGCTGATGTACTCTCCCCGCACGTAGGACAGGCAAAGAAATTAGGATATTATTAATTAATGTAGGCGTAGAAGATGTAACGGTAATTTACGGTAACGAGTTATGAGAGCAACGACCGAGAGACTGTATGGACAATTGGACAAAAAGTGGGAGTGAAGAAAAAAAAAAAACATTTGATAAAAAGTCTCAATAGCATTGCCAGAGCAATGATAACGGTATACGGTATATATACCCCGTACCGAAGAAGATTCGTCCAAAGTGGATCGATCAGTTACAAGTGGACACGGAAAAAAGAAGAGGAAAAAGAAAAAAATGAAAAATCGCAAAACGATTGAATGATATTGCAGACGTTTCTCTCGGGTCGCTCTTATTTATTTATTTTTTTTTTTTAAACAGTTATCCGTAACCTCGCCGCAGCGAAGTCTCTAATTAGACTGATATACAGAATTAATCACCGATTAATACAGTGGTAGCAATGGGGGTGTGCACCTGCCACCAGATAGCAGTGCCAAGAGAGAGTGAGTGAACAAGATTCTATATCCGTGAGTGTCTGATGCAACGATTATTATTATTATTATTATTTCGAATTATTTTTCTTTCGTATACGTGATTAAATTAATTATAGTGATTAATAATTATCCCATCAGCAAGCGGGTGTCAGAGGCTCATATGAGTTACGCACGTGCCATATAGGACAGATCTATAGTACAAGTTCCAGGCATATCAAAAGCGTAATTATTATTGTACAGTATTAAAGGAAAAAAAAAAAAAAAAAAAATACATATATATCGATAGAATATATATATATGTGTATAATTTATAAGTTAGTGTCAACTTGGCCATGTGGAGCATTTTTGTTAGTTGAATATATATATATATGTAAATTAAAAAAAGTAGATGTTGCTGTTCTTGTGCGGTATATAATATGTGATGGATGATAATTGCGTCTAATGATAAAGGATAGTCAATGTATATTAACGTGAAAGAATTAAAAAAAAAAAGAATAATAATACTTTGTTAGTCGTAATACGTGATAGGGTGGGACGCCGTAATTGGCCAGCAAGAACATTCTGCCGCGCACGATGTTCATCCGAACTGCACGAAAGTGCAGTGCAATAACGTTACCGCGTGCAAAGTCCACGAGTCGAGTATTCGTCGTCGATGGAAACGCGCACCGTTCGAAATGATCGGCCACGTGATTCCCGCGAGTCCGTGCGAGACGGGAGCGACGAAAATGTTACGCAAGGTCGATCGAGATCCGAGTTCGAGATATCGAAGTCGTTTCTCGCGACCGACGGCGTCACACTTCGTCCTTGCGTGTTAGCTGAATCACGTTCCCGCCAAAAATTTCAAATCTCACGATCCGCTCCTCCTCTCGCCCGACGAATACAAAACGTGGACGCGGGACATTCGAATAAAGGACGCGATAAAACCTTTGCGTCGCACCACGTGACCACCCCTGCAATTTACTTGGAAACAGACAGAGAACTCCTTTATTTTTCTTTTCCTTTTTTCTTTTTCTATATAAATATTTATTTCAATCACATAATATAATCGTATGCGTATATATCGATTTTATATACAGCTTAGATGGAAGGTCAAAAACAAGTGTTCCACAGGCACAAGTTGCCAAGATGAAAAAAAAAAAATAAAAAATACTTGGAGCGAAAAAAACAACACGTTTTTTCATACAATGTATAACAGTGAAGAGAGAAAAAGATAATATAAAAAAAAAAAAGAACAATGTAAAATAATATTATGTCCTGGAAAACTTTCTTTTTTTTCCAATATATAACACGCTGTGATTTCGAATATTTCGATACAAGCACCGAATCTTACTTTTTTATTGTCCTTTCTCATACAAAACACCACATTGCCCCGTACACGTTATTAAACGTAAACATACCTAAGCGCACTCGACTCGCACGTCGAGTTACGACCGAAGACTGCACTGTGTGTAATTTCGTATACGGTATGTATATATTTTCGCGAAGGACTAGTACACGTGTGTAAACGAACCGAGAGAGAGTGAGAGAGAGAGAGAGAGAGAGAGAGAGAGAAAGAGAGAGAGAGAGAGAGAGAGAGAAACACATAAATTCGCAAGTGTCTCTGGTAGCTGAAAGAAATTCTTCAGCCGTGGCCATTGCCTTTCCTATATATGGATTTTCTCAATCTCGTGTAACGGGATAATAATAATAATAATAATTTAAAAAAGAATAATAACCAGACAAATTATAGGGCAGTGCTTGCTAGTCGTTTTGTGCGCTGAGTATGGGGAGGGTGCGCACCCACATCGCCACGTACAAGTTTCTCGTGGCGACACTGATTTTTTTAAAAAAAAAAAAAAAAAAAAAAA